GGGCCGGTGGGGCCGCCGCCGCCGCCATGCAGGAAATCATCGCCAGCGTGGACCACATCAAGTTCGACTTGGAGATCGCGGTGGAGCAGCAGCTCGGGGCGCAGCCGCTGCCCTTCCCCGGCATGGACAGTGAGCGTGGGGCCGGCGGGCCAGGGGCGCAACCGACTCGGAACTGGGACCCCTTCCCCTCGGTCCTGGGACCCGCACGCGGGAGCCCACCTTCCTCAAATCTTTGATCCCCCGGGGGTGGTTTAAGATAATCTTCAGGAGGGCTAGACCATGTCCGGCTGTTCAAATAATTGTTGAATGAAGGCGGGTATCCTCTTTAAAATATATATATATTATCCTTCCCAGAGAGGAAGGGAAAGGGAGAGAGAGAGAGAGAGAGAGAGAGAGAGAGAAACATCGACGATGAGAGAGAATCATTGATTGGCTGCCTTCTGCAAGCTTCCTACCGAGAATTGAGCCCACACCCGGGCGTGTGCCCTTGACCAGAATCCAACCCGGGACCCTTCAGTCTGCAGGCCGAGGCTCTATCCACTGAGCAAACCAGCCAGGGCAAGGCGGGTATCCTCGATTGGAAATCCTCCCCCACCTCCCACCCCCACAACTCCCCAACTCCTGGAAAGTACTGTGCAGCCTCCTCCCCACCTCCAGTGCCCTCACTGTGCTCTCCCCTTTGCTTTCAAAACGGGGCCGTTGGCGGAGTCTGGAAGACCCGTCAGACTCTCAAGCTCCTTCTTCTCCTAGGACTCACTCCTGGGAGCCTATCCCTCCGTTCTTTTCTGGACTCCAACTCTGGGTCTTTCATCACTCCTGGCAGGTGCCCGAGCTCCCTTTTCAGACTTTTTGAAATGCGAACAAGTGACACCTCCAGGATCCCCAGTTCCACCGCCTTGAGTCCGTCCTAGCAAAATCGGCCTGCAGCCCAGAACCCAAGGAATCCCTTGCAAGTTAATAAGTAGAGGCAAGAAAGTGGCCTTTGGAGATGCTCTCTGTGGGTTTTCAGCAATTCTGAAATGCCTGCTGATAGACAAAACTTTGTGAAACCGGAAGGTTTATTCTGGTAGCCATGGCTGGTGAATTACTGGACTCATTGGAACAGCTAACCCTGATCCCACTGACTTCCACCGCATGCACCCCACCTGTGTTCACTTGCTCCCCTCACCTGAACCAGCTGCATCTGTAGAAGCAAAGCACGACTCCTTTAATAATTGCATTGGTATTGCAAATTAAGAGTAGTCCTACTTTTTTGTCTTCAGTTATATGCTCTTCCCTCCATAATGGTGTCATTCTCTCTCTCTCTCTCTCTCTCTCTCTCTCTCTCTCTCTCTCTCTCGTCCCTCCTTAGAATCCCCATTCATGTGTATTTCCTGTGAGATCATTCCCTCCCTCTGCCTCACATTAAAGTGCTGGGGAATTAGCCCTCTGGAAGGTCCAAGCACCGGGTAATTTCCCTGATCTTGTGCTCCATCCTTCCTTCGCCCACTCACTCCCAAATCCTCGAAAGCATTTTTATTATAGGAGACTCTCAGAAAGCCTGTATAATGACTGGTCTTAACATATGTGTCTCATTTTGCATAAGCAACATTTTTCTTGCTTGATTAAAGTGCTGGGGAATTAGCCCTCTGGAAGGTCCAAGCACCGGGTAATTTCCCTGATCTTGTGCTCCATCCTTCCTTCGCCCACTCACTCCCAAATCCTCGAAAGCATTTTTATTATAGGAGACTCTCAGAAAGCCTGTATAATGACTGGTCTTAACATATGTGTCTCATTTTGCATAAGCAACATTTTTCTTGCTTGGTTGGGCTTTGGTTTTTTTTTTTTTTTTTTTTTTTTTTTTTTGCCAGCCTATTTCCTGTATCATGAACATTTCATAGGTCAAAGGCCAGAAGGTTTTCCTCTCCCTGTCTTCGGATGTCATCAGTAGTAATTGCACCTTGCTTTGTTGACCCTTCCCTCTTTCTCTCCTTTCTACAGAGTCAGGGGCTGCTGTCTGTGAATTCTTTTTGAAAGCTGCCTGTGGCAAAGGTAAGAGACCCCTGGTTCCTTGATGTTCCTCCTGAGGTGCCTTCTACCTCTCTCTCCCCTAGCAGACTTGTAGGCCATCAGGTCTCTAGCTTAAATTGCTTTCTCAGGAATAGCAGTGTCCGTAGATGAAACTGTGGTTTGGATAGGGTAGGAACATGATGGGGTGTTCTGCCTGAAACCTAAAACACGGCACTGAACCTGGCTCTGAATCAGCTTTCTCACCTCACTTTCCCTGTGGCCACAAGCTGACCTATGACATGAACAGGAGCTCCTAGCACTGAGATGTTCAGAAACTTCCTCAAGTTTGTATGCAATGCATTTCTTCAGTTCTATAGTTGATCTTTCTTAGGTATTGGAGGCTAAAGGTGCAGCCCGCGTGGAGTCAGACTTCTGCTGGTAGTCCTCTTTACCTCTATCTTTTAGGGCTGTGTTACCCAAACTCACAGAGTTCCTGAATGGCTGAGCCCAGTATCTGAGCCCAGGCCTTTGTGATTCTACAGTCTGTACAGGCTCACTGTTCTCCATATCCTCTCATCCAAAAAACCCCACACCCAACAATAGTCTGTCTCATGGAGTCTTGTTCATGCTAACCAGGCCCCCACAGAGGCTGCGTGAGCCAGATTATTCGTAAGGAGAAGTATTGGCTGGACCTTATATACTATACATAGGTCTGGCCATTTTTCTTTTTCTAGGCAAATTTATTTGGTTACTAAATTTGATCACAGCTTGAAAGAGAACACAGAATTACAGCAAGATTGGTTTTAATGACTGATTTTGGCAAGTTTTGGTTCTATAACTCAGTCATTTATCACTGAGACGATAGACATACCGGTAGGTCAACCAGTTTGACCTCCAGCTTTCCAGTTGGAATCATCATCCCTGGGCTCATTCCCATGTCCTTGCTCAGTAATTCTGCCTTTCTGACCTGCCACCATCTGTTAGCAACTGTCCTTAACATGGGCATTATGACTGTTTCTTTGTTAACTAATACAGTAGCCACTAGCCACATGTGGCTATTCAAATTTAAATCAATTAAAATTAAATGAAATTAAGAATGCAGTTCCTCAATCATACTAGTCATATTTCAACTGTTTAATAGCCACATGTGGCTACTGACTGCCATATTGGACAGCATAAATATAGAACTTCCATCATTGCAGAAAGTTCTGTTGGACAGGGCTGGTCCAGAAATTTCCCAGTCACAACCTCATTCTGGTTGGGCCTTCCCAGTAGTCTTGCCAGGCCACTACTTAGAAAGAGGACCTTCTCAGGGCATGGTTCTGTCCTGTCAGTAAGGATGATCACTCAGGTCCTACTACAGAAGGCAGACCTCCCCCAGTTTGTATGCAATGCATTTCTTCAGTTCTGTAACTGATTTTCTTAGTTATTGGAGGCTAAGTAGGTACTTTTAACTAAAGATGGAGCCCACCTGGAGTCCAGGCTTCTATTGGTGGTCCTCTTTACCTTCTATCTTTTAGGCTAGAAGATAGCTTAAATAAAACTGGGGTTTCCCAAACCCCAATCTTTGTTTAACTAGCCCTACAATTTTTGCCATGTCCATATATCACTGGAACTATTCTTTAATTAAATAAAGAAATAAACCCACCCCTCCCCCACACCACTGTTGATCTTGTCAAGCCTCCATCTTAAATACAATCTGTGAAATCATGATGTTTTAGTTAGATTTTATTAAAACACATTAAAATAAAAGACATAACTTTAAACTTAAAATGTGTGCCCATGTACTGCCTAAAATCACATTGCCTTCTAGGGGCAGCCACCACCTTCTGGGACATTCTGGTTTTCAGTGCCTCAGGAAAGTGTGGGGAGAAGGCGCCTTGGCTCCCCCAGGCCTAGTGCCCCTGGGCTCAGGGCTACATCTTTCTATCTTCCTCCGCAGGGGGCATGTGCCCGTTTCGCCACATTAGTGGTGAGAAGACAGTGGTGTGCAAACACTGGCTGCGGGGACTGTGCAAGAAGGGGGACCAGTGCGAGTTCCTCCATGAGTATGACATGACCAAGATGCCTGAGTGCTACTTCTACTCAAAGTTTGGTAAGGCAGTTCGGTAAGGTGTGGCCAGGCCCCTTCCTCCATCCAGAACCCGCCGCCCCCCGCCCCCCAGCATCAGTAACTCTAGGAAGGCTCCACCAAGAACCAAGACCCACAGGAGTTTAGCAACTGCTCAGGCACTCCGGGTATCTAACGTCTCCAATCTGTCCAGCTTCAGATGAGAACCTTAGGCATTGCTCTCCAACCCTCAGCTGGCCTATTAGTCATGGGAAGTTATTCTCTAATAATCCCTACGTCTGTGTAGTGCTTCTGTGTGTTTTCTTGTTTGTTTAATTTTTGTTACTCCTCACCAGAGGATATTTTTTCCATTGACTTTTTTTTTTTTTTAAGAGAGTGGGAGGGAGGGAATGAGAGAGAAATATTGATGTGAGAGAGACACATCAGTTGGTTGCCTCCAGGGCTGGGGATCAAACCTGCAACCCAGGTACATGACTTTGACCAGAAATCAAACCTGAGACCCTTTGGTGCGTGGGTTGGTGCTCTAACCAGTGAGCACACCGGCCAGGGTAGTGCTTCCGTTTTTTGAGCACTTTCAGGTAATTTGGGAATTTGAGACTAATGAGAGCCTCCCAGTGGGTGGGTGAGAGTGCAGCTGGCTAGAGGCCTTGTTTCGGCTCAAGTCTACCTTCTCCCTTAAACCAATTTCTTGTTGTGTAGCAACTGATTGCCCCCCTGAGTTGGTTTCCTTCTCTCTGAACATGTGATCCCATGTAGTAGCTTGTCTGTCCTAAATACCCCTTAAGAATAGCAAGTTTGTGCCCTGACCGGTTTGGCTCAGTGGATAGAGCGTCAGCCTGCGGACTGAAGGGTTCCAGGTTCGATTCCAGTCAAGGGCATGCACCTTGGTTGCAGGCACATCCCCAGGGGGGGATGTGCAGGAGGCAGCTGATCGATGTTTCTCTCCCGTCGATGTTTCTAACTCTCTATCCCTCTCCCTTCCTCTCTGTAAAAAATCAATAAAATATATTAAAAAAAAAAAAAAAAAGAATAGCAAGTTTGGGGAGCTGTATTCTGGTGGCAAAGAGCCCTACTCTTCACCTTGAAACTGAGATTGGCTTGATCCCTGCTTAGAGAACATGTGGCCTAAGTTGTCCTGAGTGAACTGCATGGAGAAGTAGAGACAGGCTGAGGGCAGTGAGGCTGGCACAGGGCTCGGCCAAGCTGTTGTGCTCTCTGATGAAACTAGAATCTGGCTCTCTGCTCTGAGTGAGGTTGACTAGGAAAAATCCTTGTTGGTCAGGACAAGGGCTAGCTCTGGCCTCAGGACCGCCAACCCCAGGCCCTGTGCGGAGGGAGACTGGAAGCCTGGTGGGAGACTGGAAGCCTGCTATACTCTTTGTGGTGGGCCGAGGAGTGCTAGACCTGCTGCACGCTTTCAAAGCACTGTTGTCAGAGGAGACGCTAATTATTACAGCAGCCCAACAAGCTTGGCCTGCTGGCTTATTAATTAGAGTCTGGCCTCAGGACCGCCAACCCCAGGCCCTGTGCGGAGGGAGACTGGAAGCCTGGTGGGAGACTGGAAGCCTGCTATACTCTTTGTGGTGGGCCGAGGAGTGCTAGACCTGCTGCACGCTTTCAAAGCACTGTTGTCAGAGGAGACGCTAATTATTACAGCAGCCCAACAAGCTTGGCCTGCTGGCTTATTAATTAGAGTTATGGCGCTTTTTTTTTTTTTTTTTTTTGGAGAGGCAACACAAACTACAAAGTCATAGCACAGACAGATAGAAATAGGACTCAGACTTCCAAGCTTCCTGCCCTCCCCTGGAGCCATCACTGAAAGAAAGCAGTGGCTTCTCAATGGGAACCTTCTTTCATCTGACCCCAAAGGCAGGAGCCAGCCCTCAGGGCAGACTCTCAAGGGTGCCTCTGCAAGCTCACCTGGGTCCCCTACTTCTCTGCTGATGACCATGGGCACAGCAGGCCGCCCCCTCCCTCCTGACCTGGTGTAAACATACTGTCTGCAGCTCCTGTCACCTGTAACACAGGTGAGGGTCCCCCTGCTAGGCCCTGAAGAGACAGTGATGAAGAAGACAGGCCCATTTCCTGCCCCATGGTACTTTTGCTCTAGTGACCCAGGGCAAGAGGCAGCTGATATGTCAGTGAGACAAGAGACCCGATAAGTGCTCTGAAGGAGATAAACAGTGATGGAACCACATGAGGAATCTCCTTTAGGTAAAATGGTCAGGAAGGCCTCTCTTAGGAGGTGAGACCTGAGCTGGGATCTGAAGGCTAAGCAGGGGCCAATCCTGGCAGACAAGTGTCTTGGAACAGCTGGGGGCCATTGTGGCTGGAGGGGAGGAGGAAACAGGAGGGATGAGCTAGACCATGTAGGAACTTGGTGGGTCTGGGAAGGAGTTTGCATTTTCTCAGATTAGTATTTTATGTGTAACAGGTTGGAAAGGAAGGGCAAGCATGGAAAGGGTGGCTGAACTGTAGCTGGTGAAAGATGCTAGTGGCAACTGGGCTGGTTGCTCCTAAGATAGCTCCTCTCACAAAGGCTTCATTGCCTTCTACCACAGGGTCCCAACCTGAGTTCCAAAATCTTCCCTACTTTTGTCCTAAAAGGTAGACTCCTCAGACCTTTCCCCTGTCCCAGCTAGTACATGTGAAAAGCTGATCCAAGTAGAACAGTAATTTCCTGGCCTCAACTGGTACGTTTGCATACCTGGGCACACCACAGTCCCGGGACACCATCTTTGGTAAGGGATGGAGCCATGAGTTATTTAATGAGTGTGTGTATACCTTGTGCCCAGCTCTGTCAGTGTCATTGACCCTGGTGACAGCATGGACACATGTGAAGGGAGGACCTTCACAGCACACATACAGGTTAGAAAACCAAGGCCCTGAGACACTCTATCAAGTCTCGGGGTTCGCCAGGCCAGGACTAGACACCAGAACCACCTGGCACTCTTTGCCTTGGGAGAAACCGAGGTGGGTCTGGGTCCAGCTCTCCCAGGGCTGTCCTGGGTGGACACATGTTGGGTTTCCCTGCAGGGGAGTGCAGCAACAAGGAGTGTCCCTTCCTGCACATCGACCCCGAGTCCAAGATCAAGGACTGCCCTTGGTACGATCGTGGCTTCTGCAAACACGGTAGGTGTAGGAGTGGCTGGGCCCCCTGGCAAGAGGCCAGTCCTCCCTCTGCCCACATGACCCTCTTACCTGTACTGCCTATACCAGCAAACATGGTGTTAGACATTTGGGGGCTAGTGAGGCTTTTTTACACTCTCAACTCACTTGAGCCTCCCAAAGCTCCTGTGGGCTACATTCTCTTCTGCATTTTCGATAAGGAAACTAGTATTTGAGAGGTTGTGTGTCCTGCCCACTGTCCCTATGAATAAGAGGCAAAGCCAGTATCTGACAATGGTCTGGGCAGGGCTCTGACTGGCAATGGGCACGAGAGCATCCCCTAAAGAGGGGGTGGTCTGAGTGCTTGACTCTGGCTCCACAGGTCCCCTGTGTAGGCACCGGCACACGCGGAGAGTCATCTGTGTGAATTACCTCGTGGGATTCTGCCCGGAGGGGCCCTCGTGTAAATTCATGCAGTGAGTAGCCAGCTCCTATCCCCCCAACTCCCACACTGCTCTCGCCCCAGGCCCTGCTGCCCTGTACATCTTTCCTGGGTTCAGTTGGGCTTTGGTCACTGGGTGGAGGTAGCACAGTGCCTGGGGTAGTGATAGGAGGTTGGGAAGGGATCCCAGCTGCTTCCTGAGCTCAGAGGTGGCTGACTACACCAGCATTTAACCTTTCTTGGGCACAGCCATGAGGGAATCTGATGAAAACTATGGGCCCTGTGTTCCAGAGAAACTCATGCACACATAGCCTTGCATATTTTTAGGGCCCTCGGGTTAAGAACTTATGCTGTAGAGGAAGGGTACTATAATGTCAGGGCCTCCTATATGAATTACTGAGCTTGGGTTTCACATACACTAGTTCATGTAACTCTCACAAGTATGAAAGAGAATGTCCTTTTTCACACATGAGGACACAGGCAGCTCAGCCACTGGCCAGGGTCACATGGTGGTAGGGGGTGGTGCCTGATCAGAGGCAGGTCTGCAGGCCTCCAAAGCCAGGTTCTTACCCAGCAGGGCTCAGCACTCCTCTCCTGGGCCTCAGTGCACCTGTCACTTTGGGTGGTTGAGGGGATAGGGTGGCACAGGGTGCTGCCTCCATCCACACTGTCAACACCTGTACGGGAGCACAGTGTCCTGGTTGCTGCCACACGGTGAGTAAGTGACTTGGTCCCACTCCCTAGACGAAAGCCCAGGAGCCCAGATGTGGCCCAGGGGTTCCTGCTTGTGGGGCAGACAGACATGTCCTCCTGGGAGTCTGTTAGAGAAGGTCTGGCCCTTGAGTTGGATCCTGTAGGGAAGGGTGTGTATTGGAAGGGCTCCCATGCTCAGAGCCCTTCGTGGAGCAGGCTCCTGCCTTCTGATGTTACCCACAGCTGTTTCCTCATTCCTCTGAGCAGCACTTTCCCCAGGTCTCAGCCAGTTATAAACAGAGCTGGATCTGAGCCCAGGCATGTCAGTGCTGTTCTTCCCACTGTCCTATGGCTTCAGGGGCAGAGCTGAGAGCCAACATTCACCCTACGTCCAGTTGGTTCGTTTTTGTACTTGGGTAGAGACTGGCCATGATATTCCCTGGGCCAGAATTTGAGAACATCGCCTAGCCTAGCTCCTCTTTTCATCTTTTCTTCTCTTGTTCTCATCCCCTCTGGTTGTTGGGTCACCAGCCCTCTATTTGAACTGCCAATGGGAACCACCGAGCAGCCTCCACTGCCCCAGCAGACGCAGCCTCCGTCAAAGGTACCGTGTTCTGGCCCTTCCTCGGCCCTATGGCATTGCTGGCCCTGGCAGTGCCCTTGCAATAGAGAACTCAGTGCCTGCATCAATGCCTGGTCTGTCATAGCCCCAGCTGGAGACCTGTGAGAGGGCTCAGGAGGAGGCAAGACAGTCATCCTGAGTTCCAGCAGAAAATTCAGGGAGCTGAGCAGTTCGTTATCTGCCTCTAGATATGGAGGGCTGTCTGCTGGAGCTGAATGCCCACTTGGTTTCTCTTCCCTTGCTTGGCGAGTGCCTTGAGGCCACCTTGGAGCCAGAGTGGAAGGCAGCAGGAGCTCCACGTCTCTGCCGTTCTTGCTTCTGGTTCAGACGCTTTCCTTTACAAATGGAGAAACTGACACTCCTAGAGGGAGGGGCTTGCCTGAGGTGCCACAGCTGGGCAGGAGCAGATCTGGGAACAAAACCAAGGCTGGCTAGTTCTCTGGCCAGTGCTGTGATCACTCTGTGAATGTTCCCAACTTTGGGGAATGCTGGGAACAGAGGGCTGAAGGACCAGCTGGCTCCGTTTTCTAGACAAGGGGTCCTACGACGCAGCAGTTGCCCGATTCCCCTCAAGCAGGAGGAAAGAGGAAAAGCCATGGACAAATGGGAGTCAGCGAATCAGCAGCAGCTGCACCCCCTGACCCCCACCCCATCCCACCCCAGCAAGGGCATCCTAGGTTTGGTTACTGGAGTGGAGGATTGGAAACCCAGAGGAAGGGCTGGCCACTGTGCTAGGCAGCGTCTCAACATGCTGAATAAACCCACCCATGGACCTTGAGCCTAACCTCTTACCTGGATGGACTTTGAACTTGTTGTCAAAGCCCCACCAGGCCTTCCTCACTGCTAGATGCTGAGTAGCCAGAAGAAATGTCTGCACTTGCCACACTGACCACCCCCATCCTCAGGAGGTTATGGGCTATCAGATAGAATTCCTTGTTAGCAAAGTTGGGAATTCTTGGGTGCTGGTGCAGCCGTGACAACCTGGGGGTTTCTAGCTTGGGATTCCTGTGTTTTTGGAGGCTGGAGCCAGAAACCACTTGGTTGGGAGGTGGCCTTGCTATCCAGTCCCACCCCAGGAGCCCCCATCCCCCTTGCTCATGTGACTCCCTAGTGGAGGGCCCTCTCAGCCCTAGACCGAAGTTCAGCATGTCAGCCTCCAACTGTTTTTCTGTGACTGTTGCTCGCCGTGTAGGCTGCTAAACATCTGGCTGAACCAAGCGTTCATCCTGACCTGAAGCTAGAACCTCAGAAACAAAAGTAAGGCCTGCTCATGCCCTCGCCCCACTGCCCCAGAGACCTCCTTGTCTCTTTGGTGTTTTGTTTTCTACTTTTATTTTTCGTTTATGTGTGTCTGCATGGTATTTTTCGGGCAGCCGCTCCTGCCATCACCAGATGTTTCTATTCTGCCTGCTCTCCGGGGCCACCTCAGAAGCCCTTCTTCCTGTTGGTCATGCGGGAGCAGTCCCGCCCTCTTTTTTTCTGTCCCCATTGGTAGTTTGCGTGCACGTGTTTTCTGCAGTAAAACCGTGTTGTGTAACTCTTTCCAGCAAAGTAACAATCCGCCATTACAAAGGTCGTCCTCCTTGATCCAGTTAACGAGTCAGAACTCTTCTCCCAATCAGCAGAGAGCTCCGCAGGTCATCGGGGTCATGCAGAGTCAAAACAGCAGTGCAGGCAACCGGGGACCCCGCCCATTGGAGCAGGTCACCTGTTACAAGGTGAGTCTTGGGTTGGGGGGTGGGGAGGGGTCTTCACAGTCAGTGCCTGTTCCCTCATTCTCCAAAAAGTTAATTTTGAAAAATGAAAAGTCTTTGTTTTTGCTAATTGTAACAGTAAAAGTGGGCCATTATGGTGGGCTACTTTCTTCTACAACACACCAAGGCCAGGTACACTATTAAACACACAATGAATGGAGTGTACTTTCAAAAAAGGAAGGGAAATCTGTCGGAGGCTAGGAATAAAGTGGAAGCACGAATCCAGGGACAAGTGAGCCCTGAAGCCTCTGGTTGTCCTCAGATCCTGCGTGGGCACACTGAAGGGGAAAGCTTTAGGCCCTTCTCACCCCCTATGCATACACACACACACACACACATAAAATAGGACACTCAGGGAAAGAGTAAACTTTTTAAAACCCCACTAGGAAACTTGTGTGTTATTCTTGGCTCTTGATGGAAAGGGGTGAGTGGAGTTCCGTGAGTTTATAGTCACTGGCAAGTCTTTCCATGAGTTGGGCCTGTATTTATGCCGTTGGTGAGGGCTAAAAAGCTAGTTTTCTCATCTAAAACAGCCCAGATGGGTCCTGGAACCTGGCTCTTTGATGAATTTATTCTCAACCCAAATCACACAGAATTCCCATAGCTAGAGTTCCAAAGAATGAGTTCACAATTAAAAATCACAAAACATAGAAGGAAACAAGCACCACCAAGTGAATCAGAAACAATGAATAATAGAACTAGACTTATAAAGACTTCAGATTGGGAATTGTTAGAAGAAATACAAAGTTAGTCCATACTTTTAAAAATAAAAAATTTATGATATAGAAGTGTTTAAGATACAAAGTGAGTGTTGTCCCTTACTCCCACCTTTTCTAAAACAGCCACTTTATTTATTGTATTCTGTTGTTATGCTTTTTGGTTTTGGTACCCCTTTACACTCCAAAATCCCTAAGGGGGATCCCACCAGGGACCCCACTTGGATAACTGCCCTTCTAAACTTTTATTCACAGAAAGACAAGGACGGTATGTATTTTAATATAAATGGGGTCCTAGTATGTATAGAGTTCTATACTTTTCTTTCTTTACAATATACTGTAGATCTATCAGTACTGTAGATCTATCCTGTATACTATCAGTATATGTAAATCTAATCTTTTTCAGAGACTGTAATCATATTTTATTGTACCAGTTCTGTTAGTAGACAGTTAAGTCATAATTTTTACAGCTAAAAATAGTGCTAAATCTGATACTTAGACATTTGTGATCTCTTGTCTGATGTCAGTAGCATCCATCCCTGCAAGTAGAAGGGCTGAGTAGAAGGCATATATTTAAAATGTTCATAGAAAAGTCAATTCACTGGACACTTCCCATGGCCATCAGACACTCACTGAGCACCTGCTCTGTGCCAGCTCTGCTGAGGAAACAGACTGCTGCTACTCTATCCTGGGAGGGGTTTTTGTTCTCAGGAAGGCTGGTGCCCAAAGACACTAAAGTTAAAAGTGCACATGGATTCAGGGAAGGCCTCAGATTTCTAAGCCTGAGCCATAACAAGTGAGGAAAGTACAGAGGGGAATGAGAAAGTGATATCTGTCCTGTGCAGAGCAGCTTCCAACCAGTCAGTTCCCAAGTACTTCTTGCCTCGCTGTAGGACTCTTCAGCAGGGCTTCTGTGAAGCAAACTCTCCTAAGTGCTGGAACCTCAGAAAGCTGGGGTGAGGACCTGCCAACCTCTTCTTACCAGGGGCACTTTACAGCTAATATTAAAGTTGCCTTGTGGGAATCCTGGACTCCCCAGGATCAGCTGTGGAGTCTGATGGATATGCCAAGTGCCATGAATGGGCCCACACAGGCCCTCCCTCTGGTCATCACATCAACCAAAGGACTAACTGGCAGCTACAGAGGCCACTTGTCCACACAGGTCACAAGTACAGGTAAAGACTTGAAAACATGAGGACAGCAGGCTTGGGAATAGAGCAGCCAAGAGTTCTAGGCAGTGGTGACCAATTAGAGCCCCACCCTCCAGGAAGTGCCGAGGAAGCAGGGATTGCGAGGGCACTGAATGGGTTAGTGCAGAGTGGGTGCCCCTACCACCTCCAGACCCCTTGTTTGGTGCTTGAGGATGCCATTTGCTTCCTTTCTTAGAATTCTCCTTTTTGAGGAGCAACAAGGTTGAATGAAGTAAAAATAAGGCAGGTACAGGATAATCAGAACCAGGACAAATCAGGGTCCATGCTAGATTTTTGAGGTGATTTTACCGGGTCTGTTCACCCAAGTCTAACCATTTTGTCCCATCTCTGCTCCTGTGACCGAAACCTGTCCCCAGGGATAGCTTAGGCAGATGTGCAAGAACCAGGAGGGGAAATCTGGGTGTAGCCCACACAGTGTCCACAGCCATGAATCCCCCCCCTGCATTGGGGGAGGAGCCTGGTAGCTTCTCTGTCTCTGTCTCTCTCTCTCCCTCTTGTTCCCTCTCATCGCCAGGCAGTCCCAGAATGTGCCTCACAGGTAGGTGGCCAGCCATGCAGAGAGGCTGCATTCCTGGACAGGTGGAGAAGCCCTGGTGCTGTGGGCTTCTTCCTACCACCTTGAGAGCCCTTCTGTGGGCAGGTCCCATGTGCCCAGCTGGCTGAAGGAGCTCACTACTGTGTGCTCTCAGATCATCCTTTGGCTGCAGGGGTCTCTCCCATTTGACAAGTTTTGGGCTGCAGTTTCTATACCACCTTATCTTCTATAGCTTTACCCTTATATTTCAATGAAACTCTGTACCACTGAGAATTTCAGAGTCTTTGTTCCCAACCTGGTATTTGATGAGTGCCACCATAGTTGAAAACTGCATTTGAAAATTACTTTTTTTTTTTTTGCCTTCTTCTTTCCTTCCTACTGTTCCCAGTGTGGTGAAAAAGGACACTACGCCAACAGATGCACCAAAGGGCACCTGGCCTTTCTCAGTGGACAGTGACAGCAGCTGGAGACAGCTCAGAACAGCCCAAAGGGCCCCATTTCGCGGACCACTCTGGGCCATCCTTGGGATTGTGCATTTGACTGTTCAATGCCAGTGTTAGTGCAACTCTGGCTGGAGCTGGTAGGCAAGCACACTGGCGTTTATCAGTCTGAGGGGCAACATCTGTCAGTTTCCCTACCATTTTGCTGTAGTCTCTTTTAAAAAGGGAACATGTGCTCCAGTTCTGTCCCTCCAATCAGCATCATGTGTGTCTAGGCATCAACATCTGTCTGGGACTTCCTGAACACTGCTCTCTGGAGAGGAGGAAGTTGTGGGGAAGAGCTTATACAAGCAGTTCTGTATGAAAGACGGCCCTTTCCCTTGGGCCTCATTAAACACCAGTTCTTGGTGACCCCAGGGACTGGTGGGTCCTCAAAACTGAGGCTAGGTCATGCCTGCTTCCTCCATGTCCTGCTGAATTCAGAAGCTGTGCCTATCAATGTGATTTGAACGAGGCAGCCCTTCAGGGCAAACTCAAGTGGGCTTGTTGCCTCAGCCTGGTCCTGTTCCAAGGTGGCAGCGATTGAGGAGGGGTGCAGGGCTCTCAAGTGTGAGGGTCTTTTTCCTCTAGGCTTATTTTCTTGGGGCACATGCTTAACAGTGTTTAAGGTATACCTGAAGCTGAGCTACAGGCCACCCTTTAAAAAGATGACATGATCCACCTGTGCACCTACCTCCTGCCTCTCAAGCATCTGTACTGTCACTCAGACACCTTTTGGCCTATGGAGACCACCTTAAGCCTGGAAATGTGAAACTATCACCTGGAACTTGCTGGGCAAGGGGACCTATCCAAGTTCAATTATAAGAACAATTTTTATGAGGTTGATTAAAGCTTGTTTTTTAAGTTGTGTCTCATTGCTTCAGACTCCATGCCAAGGAGAGGATCTTGCTATTGGCTGATCCACTAGCTGCCTGGCTCAAAGCTTTGACATTGGTGCCTGCTTATCCCCTTTCAACGAATGACTTCAGAAGTGAAGTGATGCTGCCGGTGAAAGGTCTTTTTGCTGGTAGGTCTCCTTACTTCATCTCAAATGTTGGATGGTATTTATTCAAATTCAGGTCTAGGAGAAAATGAGGCACAGCATCTCACCCCCTTATACTCCATGCAGTATATAGGCTCACCATAGGCCCCTTAACAAGAAATGGATCTGGCCTTCACATCATTTTACTGAGGCCTCTGATAAAGGTAAGGAAAAGTGCTGTATATGGGCTCTCAGGGCCTGTGCTTTCCCTCCCTTAGATCATCCCACTAAGCTTCCATCAGGCACATACCCAGGAGTAATGAAGAATGATGGTGGGGAAGGCATTCTTAGGAATACAGGACTTCTGCTTTATACTATAGCAGTTAGGTGACAAAAGGCCAAAAGTGCTCAGGACACACAAGACAAAGAGCAGGGAAACACTTGAAAGGGTACTGCTAAATGACCCGCCTAGTGAGCTGGGGCAAAATCCCAGTGATGTGGGTGTCCACCAAGGCTTCATGATTTGATGCCCTGCGCTGACAGTCCCCCTTCGGGAGTGGTAAGGCAATCTTGTCCCACCTTGTGCAAGGGACCTGAAGTGAGGGGAAATGGCCAAACCAGTGAAGCAGCCCAGTACCAGCCACCTTTTATTAGGTGTTACATTACAATATGAAAGGATTCAGAGGTGCTGGGCAAAGGTCATGGTCAGGAATGTGGAGTCCACACTGGGCCCTCTTCAGTGGTACTTGCGTCGTCGCTCATGCTCTGAAGTTAGAAAGTCAAAAGTAAATTTCTTCAAAGGTACAGGGAAAGCACAAAACGAGAGGGGAAGCATCGAGCTAAAATCATAAAGCCATCCTGAGAATTCCTTTCAGAAAATAACCTAGAACCTGCCTGTCAGGGTCTCAGTGGAACTGCTGACCTGAGGACATGAAGGCATCTCAGGTGCTCATCTGCTCCCTGGCCAGCCTCTTCCTTCCCAGAAGAACACCCACTCAGATAATGGCCCTCAAGAACCTGTCCAGTCCTTTGGAGCCAGCATCACCCCAGATGCCACAGACGGGGCTGGACACTATCAGAAACAGCCATGAAACCCAGTCACCAATGACACTTTCTGGCATCTCCCACGGGACAAGCTCCTCTTGGATCTCAGAACCAGGAACAGCTACACTTCTCCAGAGCACTGCCCAAACAGATTGTACCACTCAACTTCCCTCTGCTTGGGCTGCTAGGAAAATGAAGCCAAATTTTCCATCAACCTTTGGCAGAGCCTGCAGTATCTTATAGAATGCTTCCTAAGTATTACCTTAACCCCAGCTTCATCTTATTCTTCTGTGTATTTTCTCTTTGCCACAATTTTCTCACTTAAAATCCTAAAAACTATATTCTGACAAGTCCCTCCAATTCTTCAGCTGTCAGTAGAATAATGGACTAAATCTGACCGTGAGCCAATGCTACCCTCTGATGGGAAACCCCACTGAAGGCAAGGTAACCAAAGAAAGACACTTACTTAGTTCCTTATAAGAACGGCAGTAGTTGAAAAACACATAAGCTGCCAGCACCATAGAAACCCCAGCAACGCCCCCTTTCTTCACATTGATGTACTTGTTGTAATACCTGTGGTAACCTGCAAACAGAAGAGAAGATCATTGCTTTGCTATGACTGCTTCATGCAGTGCAAAATCGAATCTGGCTTAATTCAGGGACCCAGTTCTGCTCTAGCTCTTTAAGCCACTGACCCTACGTAGATTCTCGGGTTCATAAAGGGAAAAACATAAATGCCCCCACGGAGTCTTGGGTCCCCACAAACCCAGGAGAAGCTCCAGCTAGGCCCACCTTAATTCTGCCCCTACCCTTTGGCCTGATCTTGTAGATTTGGTTTAGCCTGTCAGCCTTTGATCCTACCTCACCCTCACCTCCAGCCTTGGGAAACCCTTACCCTAATTCTGACTGAGAATCCAATCCCCAGTAAGGGCCACTCAGGAAAGAAGGCTTTGTGCGTTTCTCTTTATTAGGTGCTCCCATCAGTGAGGGGACAAACCATATCTGCCTTGTTGGGGCTCATGGCCTAGTAGATAGAAAAAGACTGAAATGATCATAGAAGGCCACAGTTTATAACAGTGAGGGACGCTGTGAAGAAGCACTGCAGAGAGCTATGAGCATGAACAGGACACAGTCACCTCCATGGAGTCGGGGACTACTGTAACTATAGGGAAAAGGTAGAGTTCTAATCTGAGGGCAAAATTGAGGAAAGGCCTCAGGGCAGGAGGAAAGATGGCACATAAAAGACAGCCACAGTGAAGTCAGTATTAGAAAGAAAAATACAGAGGGAAGCCCCTGAGAAGCTGGAGACCATGCATAATGTGGGTCTTTAGTCTTGGAACATGACATGGGTTCCACAGGACTGATCTGACTAGCTGTGCACTTGAAAATGCACAGATATGAAGGACAGACCATTTCAAATATTCATCATGGAAGTTTTGCTTGGCAGGAAGATGAGCATTAACCTTAGACTGATGTCCACTATGCTTCACTCATTTTTTTCTTAAAGAAGTCTAATAATGTGAAAATGCTCATAGACATTTCTCTAAGATGAAGGCAATGGTACTGATCTCAAGCAATAGAAAATGTTTTCTTGGCTGAAATATCTCAGAGCCAGTCTTTGACAGCATCAAACATGAAATTCAAAAGCTAACGACCTCTCCCTATCATCTACATAACTTACTGGTCTGAGACAAGGCCTTTACCACCCAAATTAATTCAGGAAAAAGAAATCTGAAGAACCAGAGATTTGCTTTTGTTTACACATATCCAAAAGGCTCTGACCTCTTTGAAATGCTCCAGCAATGCCTTTAGGGGTGAAATCCCGCATCATTATCCAGCTTGGCAGCTCCCCTAATTTGACTTCCATCAGTCTCTTCTCCTTCAATGGCACTGATTAGGAAAAGCAAAAATACATACTGAAAAATCTCCAAATAATACAAATAGCATCCTTTTATGTCACTCATTTCAACCATTCAATAAAGGGATATTTGATAACATTACTACATAGAGGCTGGACATAAGTAATATGAATAAATATGTCACACCAAATTCACTATTTTAAGCCAGAGTCCATATAATGGTAGAACTGCTGTAGTGACAGATTTATTAATAAACAGGATTTTGAATAACAGCTTGCTGGGAATAACTATGTAAAAAGAGAACTAAGGACCACGAGGAAGAAAGTAGAGGACAGAATAGAAAGATTACTGCAAAACTAATATTTACTTAACATATTTTAGCTCATTTAATCTTTGAAACAAGTAGTTGATGCCTTAATTTATAAGGTTGTGTGTGTGTGTGTGTGGGGGGGGTAACTCTGAGAAGTTGGCCAAAGTCACACAGCATGCAGGCAGTGGAGGCAGGATTCAACCTCAGATCTGGTCCCCCTACTCCTGAAGCGAGTTTGATTTCTACTACAAAGTATCCTACCTGGGACCACAGATGTCAAATGATAGTAAAAACCACTCCAAATGATCCAACAGGCCCCAGATTATATTTCAATGAGTCTGAAGACTGGACAGAAAGGGTTTCTAGTTGAGGCTGTACTATACTCATCTCTGGGCTTAAGAGTAAAATAGAAAGGGGCTTGGGAGGGGGGTGGAGCTGCAAGTGTTCAGATGCAGATTTCCCTTCCCTCATGCTCCTCCAGAGGTCAACTTTATTATTTTTTTTATTTTTTTCTGCAAGGGGACAAGGACAGTGGGTTACACCTGCCATCCCAGTGGGGTTACCTACAGCCCCTTCTCTACCCAGTGCCCTGGCTGGGACGATCATTTGCAGAGTTATCAGCCCACTGAGGGGATCCACATGGGCCCCAGCTCCCAACTCATGGACAGGCAACTGCAGGGAGCGAACCTCTAGCAGCCCACCCGGCCCAAACTGACCAAGCCCCTCCTGCTCCTGAAAGTGCTCTGCTTGTCTCAGGGTCCTTAGAGTGTGGGTGCTCATGTGCGAGGTGGCTCCGACTGCCCACCCAGGGCCACAGGGAGCTCACACCAGCATATGGTTCTTAGCTGAGGATTTGCACACCTGCCCAAGGACTGTTGCTAAGAAGCTCCAGCCCAGCCCTGTGAACAAATTTCCAGGCAGGAGACCCTGTGCCGGTCAGTCCCACCCACCTCACTAAGCCCCCAGAACAGCCTCATCATCCAGAGGGAAAGGAAAAGCAAAGTGCTTAGGATCTCACCCGAGGTCCCCAACTGTAATCCGGGACACAGGTCAGACTGCTGCACACACGGAACACAAATGCATGCCGGCCAGGCGCGCTAGGACTGTCAGGCTATAATCTATTCTTAGTGCCCACTGTTCTGAGCACTGAGTGTAGAAATAGCCACTTCCTCTGTGCCCGATGTCTGTGGTGCCAGCAGATCCAGCACCTGCAGGGCAGCCAGAGATCAACTCTAAAAAGCTGCCTTCAGAGCAAGGAGTCAAGGACTAAAGTTCCTTCTTAATGACCAGCCACAGAAGCCAGACTAAATCATTCCAAAGTTTCTTTTCCATTTTGGGGATCCAAGGAAGGACGAATGCTCCCTGAAGACCAGCCTCAAGAGTCCACTGAGGGAATCCCACAGGCTTCCTAACACCTCCCAACCCTTAACAAGGGCAAGGGCTGTCAGGCCATAAAGAGAAATACAAGGCTTAGCGGCAGCTTCAGATCTGCTACAGGTCGTCTGGAGAACTGGACCCTGGCATTGATGGATCAGACTGAGGCTTGTCACAACAGACCAGTGATAGATGGAGGCATAAGCCTGTGACTTGCATACATTGTTTAAGGGTTGCGGTTTAGGCTACCTGTCCCAAACAAACTGCCCCAACCTTCCACCTAGATTCATCCAACAAATATGGAACACCTACCATATGCCAGGTAGCACACCAAGCACTGTGAATACAGTACTGACTGCAGACGAGAGACTTGCTCTCAGGAGCCAACACTCTATGGAATAAGACAACCATCTCATACACACCCATCTTCCTGGGCTCACCATACAAAACCATTTCTGTTTCTCATATGCAACAATTATTTTCACTGATGCCTTTGCACTTGCAGTGCCCCTGGTTCATTATACAGCTATCTCAACTTAAATATCATCTCCTAAAAAGCCTCTTCCCTGCCCTCTTTATCTCAAATGCCAGCACTTTCTTTCTATATAATCAGTGAGCTAATTTCCTCATCTGTAATGGTTTATTACAAGGATTAAATGAAAATCTGTATAAAAGCATTTGGAACAGTGCTCAGAATTGTAAACTGTTATTACTATTAAAATCTCATTAAGGTTTACATGAAACATTTTTTTAAAAGAATAAGGGTTGCCCTAACTGGTTTGGCTCAGTGGATGGAGCGTCAACCTGCGGACTGAAGGGTCCCAGGTTCGATTCCGGTCAAGGGCATGTACCTTGGGGCACAGCCCCAGGAGGGGGTGTTCAGGAGGCAGCTGATTGATATTTCTCTCTCATCGATGTTTCTATCTCTCCCTCTCCCTTCCTCTCTGAAATCAATAAAAAATATGTATTTTTTAAAAGAATCAACATACATATATTTTAGAAACAATATATAAGAAGAAATTCAGCCATAACTGGTTTGGCTCAGTGGATGGAGCGTCAGCCTGCAGACTGAAGGGTCCCGGGTTCGATTCTGGTCAAGGGCATGTACCTTGGTTGCGGGCACATCCCCAGTGGGGGGTGTGCAGGAGGCAGCTGATCGATGTTTCTCTCTCATCAATGTTTCTAACTCTCTATCCCTCTCCCTTCCTTTCTGTAAAAAATCAATAATATATATATATTTTTAAAAAAGAATAAGGGTAGAGGGAAATACAGTAAACCAAACTTTAGGATATTTTAATGACACAGGGTTTCAGAGATTAATCTCACTGTTTAGGTTTTTTTTTTTACAAACAGAAAGCTGTGATTAGTTTAATTTTTGTAATGTCAGATGGTCTCAAATGAATGTTAAGATATGTTCCAAATCTCTGTTGGAGTTCAGTGTCACAGATATTAAACTCAACACCAATGTTCTCCAAAAATGACCTATACCTTTCCCTGTCACCCTGATTGTGCTATTTTTAGGAAAGTTTAATAAGTACACATCTTACATTCCAGGTTTATCTTTACTTGAATAGGTAGGCTTTTAGTCCAAGGAATACTATATCACATTTCTTCTTGAATAAGAACACAGTAATACCTTTACTACACTCTCAAAGCCTTCATGCATGCAGCAAGGAGTACAAACATCATTCTAAAACCAACTCTGGCTTTAAATACGGCGTTGTGGTGGGGAGTGGTGATGAAGGTACAGATGGAACTAGAATAGCACAATGTTGCTAATAGCTGACACGGGGTATGAGTACAAAGTGCTCCTTACATTATTCTGTTCCCTTTTTATTTTAAATCTTCCATAATAAAAGTTAAAAAGTGCTTTCAAAAATAGAACTATGTTGGGGAAATATGCAAAAGAATAACTATTTTAAATCAAAATGTTTTTGACAAGTATAAGGCGGATGGCTCAAAAAAAAAAAAAAAAAAAGGCCACTTTTGGGCCCACTGCAGCTATCTTTTTCATATTCACCCAAACTATGAAAACACATTCTGCATTCTCAGGACCACATTCAGAAATTGGCATGGTGCCTTGGCACACCAGAGGAGGAAAAAATCCAACAATTTAAACTTACTTTCTACATATTTATATCTCTGTAATATGAAGACAAGAGCATTTCCTTAACCAAAATTAAGAAATGTAGAAGCACAAGGAAAAAAAATACATTCATTTTTTAATATATTTTTATTGATTTCAGAGAGGAAGGGAGGAGAAATAGAAATATCAATGATGAGAGAGAATTACTGATCAGCTGCCTCCTGCACGCCCCCTACTGGAGATCGAGCCTACAACCCGGAATCGAACCTGGGACCCTTCAATCCGCTGGCTGTCACTCCATCCACTGAACCAAACCAGGTAGGGCAAAATTACATTAGTTTTAAGAACAAGTACAACACCATCACAAAACTCCAAGAGGCAATCACATTCATTAGAGATAAATACACTTATTCCAAGAATTTCTTTTTTTAGCCCTAGCTGGTTCGATTCCAGTAAAGGGTATGTACCTTGGTTGCAGGTACATGGATGTTTCTTTCTGTCTCTCCCTCTTCCTTCCACTCTCTAAAAAATCAATGGAAAAATATCTTCAGGTGAGGGAAAAAGAATATCTTTTATTTTTATTTTTTCTTAATCCCTGAAAATTTTTAAAAAATATTTTTATTGATTTCAGAGAGGAAGGGAGAGGGAGAGACAGAAACATCAATGATGAGAATCATCTGGGGATCGAGCCCACAACCTGGGCATGTGCCCTTGACTGGAATTGAACCTGGGACCCTTCAGTCCGTAGGTTGACACTCTATCCACTGAGCAAAACTGGCCAGGGCAGAATTTCTCTTTTAGCAGAAGACAAAGGCCTCAGTCCTTGGCAGCCATACTGGAACTCTCCCTCAACACTGCTGTGCAGTGCTATACATCCCTCTGCAGCCACTGGTTCACACCAGTAGAGTGTGGTAATTACAGAGCAGACTCTAGAATTCAGTATTCTGAGTTTTGTGCCATTTTGTAGCTTGAGCAAGTTACTGCCCTCTCTGTGCCTGTTTCCTCCTTTGTAAAATAAGGATAAGAATAGTGTCCACCTTGGTGCTTGGCCTAGATACTGTGTAAATGGGAATTATTATTATTTGTCTTTCTGTCTATGAGCTATTTGAAGGTGGGAGCATCCACACACAGTTCCTGGTCATGACAGACTTTCAGTGAAGACTGTGTAAGGACCACAAGTATGGCCTGATTTTATGACTTCAAGAAGCATATTGTTCATTTATATGAAGAGGCATAGAAATGCCAAGTGTCCTCTAGGTACTAAATCCAAACCAGAGTTTTGCCAGAGAGTAAAGAGTTTAGGCTTTGCAGGCCACACAAGGACTCTGTAACACACTTTTTTTCTAAACATAAAAACCATTTTTAGCTCACAGACAAAAACAGACCTCAGGAAATCCAGCCTATTGGCCATAGTTTGCCAAGCCCTGTTCTCATCTATTGTTATTCATTCATATTTTTATCACTTTATTTGCTAATGGCTTTATGCTCTGGCAACAGATATCATCTACAAGATCATCATTATTTAAGAGGCTTTGGGCTCCAATTCTTTTCCCTAGGGTGATGCTGAATGGGCCAGATGTGACAGGACCAAGCCCAAAAGTCAGAGTTTAAGCTGGGATGAGCATCACGCACCTGTGCACCAGGCAGTATTCCAAGTACCTTACATGTACGTACTAAGTTGTTAAATCCTTAGTCCACAGTGCTATTCAGGTCAACCCTCCGCTTAAATAAGATACCAAGTCTCAATGCTTCCTTTTCACATGTTGTCTTATTTAAATCAAAACCACAACAAAACCACCTATGGATAAATAGTCTCGTGCCCGTTTTCACAGATGGCAAAAACAGCATCATTCATCTTTTCTGATCCCCTCTTCATTTCTCCAGGCTGAGATTAAGAATACAGAAACTGACCCTAGCTGGTTTTGCTCAGTGGATAGAGCATCAGCCTGGGGACTGAAGAGTCCCAGGTTCGATTCCAGTCAAGGGCATATGCTGGGGTTGTGGGCTCGACCCCCAGTAGGGGGCATGCAGGAGGCAGCCGATCAATGATTCTCTCTCATCACTGATGTTTCTCTCTCTCTCTCTCCCTTCCTGACATCAACAAAAATATATATTTTTTAAAAAGAATACAGAAACTGGGGTAAGACACACATAGGTTAATCAAAACTCTGCCTATGTCATGCTGTGATCTCGGGCAGGCCACACCACATGGGATCAACATTCCTGGCAGTGACTTCTTGAAAAGGCTAATGTGAGGATCGGGCTTATGCTTATACATGGTTACCCTACTATTAAAAAAAAAAAAGTGTGCACAGTCCAATGAGTGTAGAGATTCATTCATATATGCCACCGAAAAGCCTGCCAGTCCTCAGATCATCCTTGTGGTTCAAGCTCAGTTTACCACGAGGCCCCAAACTCCTAGGTGTGAATCCCAGCTCAGTCCTCTCGCTAGTGTGACCTTGAGTAGTCACTTCACCTTCGCGAGCCTATTCAGCGCATAGTCAACATATATGCGTCTAACCTTCCATTGTGTTAGGTACTGTCCTAGGCATTAAACTTCTCCTGGAGCTTCATTTGAGTTTCACCTTTGGAAACAAGTATCTGCACATAGGGCTCCAGTGCAACGCGCCTGGGTCGCGGCGGGGACGAGAGCAGCTATTCCTTAGCGAGGAGAGGAGAGGAGAGGTTGGGAGTCCCGAGGCGGCGCGTTCCCAAGCCCAGAGGCGCGTTGCCCGGCTGCCCTCGCCCTCCCTGCCACAGCCCGGAGGTGCGGCCGGAGAGCAGAGGAAGGTCGGGCAGCGCAGGACCCTTGCAAAGGGTCCGGTGCGCGTCGGGTGAGGTCGCGGCGAAGGCCCGCAGCAAAGGCAGGCGCTCCGCAGCTCCCTCCCCACCCAGGGCGTCTGTAAGCCCCGGACCGGCGCCAGCTTCCAACCTGACAGGCCCTCACCGGCTCTCCGTGCTTACCGACTGACGCCATCTTGGAGTCCGGGGTGTCCGCTCTGCGGGGCCGCGCAAGGACTGCTGGGTAAGGCGCACGCGCCCCGGCGTGGGGTCGTGGAGCGCAGAGGCTCACGGGAAGCCGGTCGGGACTGAGGCTCCGCTGGGGCTGCCCGCGCTCCGCGGAATGAAGGGCAAAGCCTCTGGAGAGCAGAGCGCCCAGGCTCCCTCCGTTGGGGGCGGAGTAGGGAGAGAAGGGCCCAGCCCAGCTCTCCATCCTGGGAGGGAATCAGAAAACGGGAAGCGGAAGGAAAAGAGTATCTTGGCTTTCTCACTCCGTCACCCTGAGCCTATCAAGATCCTTCCTCCCAACTGGACTGGAGGGGAGATGAGCTCCGGTTCTTAAAGGAATTCCCAGTCACCAGGAAAAGTGTTCACCCAGGTTTAAATTACAAGTAGGTTTGATCCAAGAGTACCCCTATGGGTTCCGGCTCTGGGCTGGGTATGCAAGACCCTAGGGTTCACATGACCCTGTGTGCGTGTGTGTGTGTGTGTGTGCGCGCGCGCGTGTGTGTGTAAAGGCTACGTTCACCATTGCTGGTTAAGCAATTCTGACTTGGGTGTGATTCGATGCTCTGAATCTCAGTTTCCTTCGCTGTAAAATAGGGATGTAATGCTTGCTTACTTGGCATCCTTGTGCTAGGAATTAAATGAAACAGTGTGTGTGAAAATACGGTAGGCAGTTAGCCATGCGTAGAGAAAGGAGCATGGGCCAGGGACAGACGGTCACCAGGGTAGAAAGCCCTAGGTGACAATCTATTACAGGGTGGGACCTTGCCCCCAGGGTGACTTTTCCTTCCCCCTAGCATATGGCTGGATATTCAGTTTGGACTTCCTGACCTTTCCTCCCTAGAGATAACATCTGTGCCTCAGTTGTATTTTAGCTCCAGGCCCAGATAAGCAGCAAAACCAGCCACGGCTGACGTCAGGACTAGCTGCTTTGAAGAATGACTCCCTGGTGCCAGCCAATCAATCAGTAGCGACCACAACCCTGAAAAGACACACCTGGAAAACTGCTGGATATTCTATTGAGATCTTCCCCCTGGGACCTCCCCTAAAATATTTACCTTAAATTTCTTAGGGAGGACCCAGTGCTCTCTTCCTCCCCAGAGCACACCAGTTGCCTTTCCCTTTCCTTTTCCCCACCCCCTCCCTGCCCCAGGCACATTACCATTACCTTACTCACTCCTAGGCTCCAAGGACCCTTCTTTTGCCTTCATAACTTATCTTCCTAAGTCCATTTCTTCTAGGAATTACTTTTTCTACCTCTTGATTTACCAAATAAATGTCCTCTTACAGTTTGGGTCTTGTCGAAGAAAAGAAAATTGCTGTTATCTGACTCTCCATATTTAACCTTTTGACATTGAGGTGTATGGTTTTTGATAGTTAATGTATTGACATGGGTTACATTGTTTGTGTACATAGCTTCTTTTTTCCCACTTGTCACAAATGAACTTCTTTTCTAATCATCACATGTTCTACATAATTTCCCATGGCTGTCCAAACACCCTTTTATGAATATTCCAGTCTCTCTGACTAGACTCCTGTTGTTGAGCATTTTCAATGGTTCTCAACCTTCCTAATGCCTCGACCCTTTAATACAGTTCCTCATTTTGTGGTGACCCCCAACCATAAAATTATTTTCGTTGCTACTTCATAACTGTAATTTTGCTACTGTTATGAATCGTAATGTAAATATCTGATATGCTATATGTTTTCGGATGGTCGCAACCCACAGGTTGAGAACCGCTGGCTTAGGGTATTTGGCAGGTGCTGATTGGTGGCTTAATGTATAGTCCATATAAGGTACATGGTTAGGCACTCAGGTATTTCTGGGCTGCAGGTTATGTTATGTTTGCTGTTACTCCGCCCACCAGTTGGGGGAAGGGAGGATCTATCACTTTCCTAGCCAATAAAAAATGAATAGCTATGTAAAGAAGCAGGAAAGTGTAATCCTAAACCAGGAAAATAATCAGTCATTAGGAACAGATCCAGAAATGACCCAAGTTATGCAATTAGGAGACAAGGACTTTAAAACAATTAATTGAATATGTTCAAGGATTTAAAACAAGCATGAACAGAAAAATACAAGGTAATAAAAAAAAATTAATGGAGCTTCTGGAGATTAAAAAACCCCAACAGCCCGACCAGCATGGTCGACCTATGAACCAGGAGATCATGATTTGATTCCCAATCAGAGCACATGCCGGGGTTGTTGGCTCCATCCCCAGTGTGGGGCATGCAGGAGGCAACCAATCAATGATTCTGTCTCATCACTGATGTTTCTCTCTCCACCTCTCCCTTCCTCTCTGAAATAAATAAAAAATTAAACACACATGCCCTAACCGGTTTGGCTCAGTGGATAGAGTGTCAGCCTGCGGACTCAAGGGTCCCAGGTTCGATTCTGGTCAAGGGCATGTACCTTGGTTGCGGGCACATCCCCAGTAGGGAGTGTGCAGGAGGCAGCTGATCATTGATGTTTCTAACTCTCTATCCCTCTCCCTTCCTCTCTGTAAAAAAATCAATAAAATATATTTAAAAAAAAAATTAAACACACACACACACACCAATACCTGAAAGGATCGGTGAGCTTAAACAGTAGCAATAGAAACTATAACTTGTAGGACTTAAAATTATTGATCTCCTCCCCATTGTGGTCTTTATCTTACATGTAATGGGAGACTGAAAAATTCCTCTCTTTCCATCCTAATGTCTTATTATATAGCTCTTCAGCCCCTGCTCCATGTAACTTCAGATAGTAGTATAAAGCTTGATAGGGAAACTGTTCCTGAGTTTAAGGCCCCCCGAGTCTCCAATATTGTCACTTTTGCACAATATGATTATCAAATACTGGGGGGGTTTCTATCTGCAATCAGCAGCCCTTAGCCCAAATCAAACCCTAAATACTTTGAGTAACATTTACATTGGCCCGATCAGAGGCGCTGGGTGCCTGTGACTTGAGGCCACGGCACAATTAGCCCAACCATAGAGTTGCGAAGCCTCCGCGTTTCCTAGAAGGTCCACAGGCGCCGTTGCTCTACTCGCAGCGGGCGAGTGGACGAGGGAGAGACACGGGAATCTTTCGGGTTAGCGCCCTCAGTTGGGGATTAATGGAGTCGCGGACCAGATCCCGGGGCGGGGCCGGAACCTCGAGAGGGGAGCCCAGCCCACGTGGTCGCTGCCAGTGGACACCTAGGACTTCGTGGAGCAGGCGCCAAGCAGGTTTGGGGAGAAAGAAGCGACTGTGATGGGAGGAGTGGGTGCCGCGGGGAAGTCGCGGCAGCTCCGCCACGGAAGGTGTCAGGGCTCGCCCCCCCACCCCACTTTATGGGGAAGTCACGGGGCATTGACCCAGCGTCTTCCTGCAGACGCCAACCTTTGAGTATGTTCTGCGCAGTCACTTCTGTAGCGTTAAGGGTGATGGATTGCCTGGTTGATACTATGGTTTGGTTTGGTTTGGTTTGGTTATAGGGAAAACGAGATGTGATTAAGAGTTTAAGGGTTCACATTGTGAAGTGGCATTTAGATTCCGAGTTCCGGATGTCCAGTGTCCGCAGTAGATCAGGAAAAGGGTGCGGTCCCTTCTCCAGCGCTGAGCCGTTCTCAGGACGTGGTTGGACGCCTTCCCACTGGAGAGGCGCCGCGTTTTTAGCGACGTGAACGGTGTGTGAGGGGCTCTCCTTAAAATGCACTTACACACAGAGCAAGGTTCACCGGTAGCCAGAAAAGCACAAGAAAGAGAAATCACCTGTATCGCATCACGTGTGTACTCCCTGGGTAACAATATTGAATTTGTGTTGGAAAAAAAAAAAAGCTGAAATGAAGGCCACAGTTTGGGTATACCCCGAGCCCACTCACCCATAGCTAGGGAACCCAAACTTAAACTGTCCTAATTGCCCCCAAAATGCTCACTCTGTCCTTAAATGAAAGATAAACTTTCTTATGTTGGGTGACTTTGCATCCTCTTAGCCAATCAGCTACAAAGAAGTAAACTTGGCCCTGGCCGGAGTGGCTCAGTGGTTAGAGCGTCAGGCCATGCAGATTCAATCCCCAGGGATGGTCGGGGTGGTACGTGAGGGGCAGCCAATCTCTGAGAGACATAGATGTGTCTCCCCTCCTTCCCTGCCTCCTCCCCCGTACCTTCCACTCTCTTTAAAAAAAATCAATGGAGCCCTGGCCAGTTTGGCTCAGTGGATAGGGCGTCAGACTACGGACTGAAGGGTGTCAGGTTCAATTCTGGCCAAGGGCACATACCCGGGTTGCGGGCTCGATCTCCAGGAGGGGGCGTGCAGGAGGCAGCCCATCAATGATTCTCTCTCATCATTGATTCTATCTCCCTCTCCCTTCCTCTCTGAAATCAGTAAAGAAATATATATTTTTAAAAAATCAATGGAAAACAAGGTACTTCTTCATTCATGTCTAGGGGGGAGAAAAATAATTTTCTCTCTACCCTTCTGAGTTAGCTGAAATCCTTGCAATAAAAGATTAAGAGAAACACAAGTTTATGAACATGTGTACCTCATGAATATATGGAGATACCCAGGGGAAAATGTGTAACTCCTGGATTGCCTGAATTCAGGCTTTTCCCATCTTAATAGGGAAAGGGGATGGAGAGTGTACCTTTTAGAGGTTTTTTAGAAAGGTGAATGGGCTCTTAGAAGAATATATGGGAGGTCTGGTAGTTTGTGTCAAAGTTTTCTAGTCTCCTCTCTGTGATAAGAGCCAATCTTCCCTGGTTGATGAAACTCCCTGGGAGGGATTTATGACAGTTGAGTTCCTTTTGGAGGATCTGTCTTTAGGAAGATAAAGGGAGTTCATAGAAAGCCTGTCTTTGCATTTGCTGTTTTTTAAGTGCCTGCAGCTCAAAATAATCAACATTCCAAAGGAGCATACTTTGGGGTGGTGTATTCTGCTACCCCTCACATGCTTTATAAGCTGAGCAGCAACTGCTGAGAGCCCAGCTTCTCAGCACCTTGAGTTTTGAAGTCTCCGCGTTTGTGTTTTGTTTCTTGCTCAATAAAATATCCATATGAAGTAAAGCTGAATTTCTTTTTGACAATGATTACTTCTTTGTGTATAACAGGTAGCCTGAAATCTGATAACTGCCCGCTCCCATTGGTCTGTGTCCATTGGTCATGCTCATATGCATGGATACAAGTCCTTTGGCTGATCTCTTACCCCACCACCCCACCCTCCCCTGCCTTCCCTCTGAGGTTTGGCAGGCGGTCTATTTGATACTTCTGTGTCTCTGGATCTATTTTTGTTCATCAGTTAATGTTGTTCATTATATTCCACAAATGAGTGAGATCATGTGATATTTATCTTTCTCCGGCTTATTTCTCTTAGCATAATGCTCACCAGGTCCATCCATGCTTTGCAGATGGTAAACGTTCCTTCTTTTTTACAGCATCATAGTATTCCATTGTGTAGATGTCCCACAGGTTTTTAATCCACTCATCTGCTGACACAGTGCTATTTTTATAATGAGGTACTGCAGAACATATTCTAGGGAAAAGGGGAGGGCTGGGCCACAGGTTCTTTTGACTGTAGTTTTGAAAATGGATCTAGCTTCAGAAATTACTAAAAAAACCTATTCTAGTGGCTTCTTTCATTTTATCACATATTCCAACATTAAATAGTGGCTTTGTGTTAGCTAAGGTTTATTGGCCCTGTTGGAATTCCCAGAGTTGCCTAGTGAGAGAGGTTCAAATGTGTACTGGCCTCACTCCTTACCTTTAGTTTTTATTTTTTCTCTTTCAGCTTAGCCTGTGGCCAGGATCCTGCCCCATCTTAGAAACCAGGCCATGGCAGCTGTGTTCCTGACAGCCCCAGGGAAGGTGAGCTGGGTTCTCCTCCACTTCCTCAGTATAGTCCCTGTGACTATAGTGGGCGATGGCTTTAATGTGGCTTCAACTCTTTCGTTCAAGTTGAGCCATCTTTATCAATTTGGGGATTTTTCCTTCTTGGAAGGCAATGTAAAGACCTTAAACTCGAGTTCTTTATGTGTAAAATGGGATAATGGTAGTACCTACAGTAAAGAGTTGTGAGGATTAAATGAAGTAAGGTATGTGGAGTACTTTTCATAGTATCTAATTACCTTTTAAGCACTCTGTAAGTTTTAGCTATTGTAACCACAGTTGTTTATTGTTTTTGTTAGTGAGCATTATTGTGTACCTATTGTGTACTTTATGCTGGGAGATAAACTCTTACTTCAGAGTTTATAAGATGTTTGGAAAGGTAGATAGGTAAATTCTTATAATACATGGGTAAGTTCTCATCTAACGGATATAATGGAAGCTTAATTATTGAATCAGTACACATTTGAACCTCTCTCACTAGGCAACTCTGGGAATTCCAACAGGGCCAATAAACCTTAGCTAACACAAAGCCACTATTTAATGTTGGAATATGTGATAAAATGAAAGAAGCCACTAGAATAGGTTTTTTTAGTAATTTCTGAAGCTAGATCCATTTTCAAAACTACAGTCAAAAGAACCTGTGGCCCAGCCCTCCCCTTTTCCCTAGAATATGTTCTGCAGTACCTCATTATAAAAATTCAATAATTAAGCTTATGGCTGGTGATGATAAGAAATTGAGTTTAAAAGTAAGGGACAAGTTGGAAAGCAATTGTAATAATTTTAAAGTGCAGTCTTGAACAGGAGGGAGGGAATTCAGGTTGTAGCAGATGGTCCATATTGCTCCAGCATCTCTGCATCTCCTGAGGGATCTTGAAACTCCACCTGCCTTCTCAGCTTTATCTCCAGCCTTCCCCCACAGCCAGAGGATCTGCACACCGGGATGCATAGTGCTCTTCCATTCCTCCATTCTTTTGTATTTCCTGTTCTTGCTGTCCACAGGCAAACTCACTTATTCATATTTTAAGACTCAACTCAAAAATCATCTTCTCTGTGAAAACCTCTCTGACTTCCTACATTAACTACATAACTTTTGCCTGTGTTCTCAAGTAGGGCACTCATGGGCAGGGTGCAGGGGAGGGTTGGGGACAGATTGCAGGTGAGTGTGTAGAGTTTTCTTTACAAAAGTTGGTCCAATGAGGGAATGAGAGTGGAAACCAGAGGGGAAGCAAGGCACAAGGCAGATCTTTTTAAGAATAGGAGATATTTTAGCATTTTTGCTGGCTAAGGGAAAGGAGTTAAGAGAGGAGTGAGTGTTTAGGAAAGAACACGCCTGTGTTTCTCTACTTTCATGCTTTTCACTTCTGACACCAGACGTGGGGTTATTCTACTTATCAAGCAGTTATGATACCAGCTAAGTGCCCTGCAATGTAACTCAATTCTGACAGCCTATTTGGACTTAGCATAGGGCCCTACAGGTTAAGGCCTTAGTCCAGAAAGACTGCCCCTTAGTTCAGACACCAATCACAGTCCAGTTTGTCACCTATGCTTCTGAATGACTAGCTATAAATTGGAGGTTCCCATGACCCCTTCCTCAGATGCCATTAATATGCTGCAGTGGCTCAAAGACTCAGGAAAACAGTTTACCTAGATTCCTGGTCTATTATAAAAGGATATAACTCAGGAACAGTCAGATGGAAGAGAGTATAGGGCAAGGTATGTGGGAAGAGGTGAAGAGCTTCCATACTGTGTCCAGGCATACCATGCTCCCAGCATCTCCAGGACTTCACTAACCCATATTGGGTTTTCAATGGAGGCTCATTACATAGGTTTGATTGATTAATTAATTGGCCTTTGATCATAGGTTAACCTTCAGCTCCTCTCCCCTTTTCTTAGTTGGGGGGTGGAAGGGGTCTGAAAGTTCTAACCCTCTAATCCTGTGGTTGTGCTGCCATTTTTAGGGACTTTCTAAAGTTCATCTCATTAACATAAACTCAGGTGTGGTGGAAGAAAGTTATGAGTAACAAGACATGCCTTTTACCTTTATGGCTCTGGACCTATCTGAGAAACCGAGGACAAAAGACCAAATATTAAAAGATGCTCATTTGGTATTATTCCTTTAGGAAATTCCAGGGGTTTTAGGAACTCTGTGTGAGAAACAGGGATGAAGACCAAATATATATATATATATATTTTTTACTGTAAATCACAATATCACAAGGGGAAAAGAGAGGAAAGAGAAAGAAAAGGAAGACTCATCATTGGATTCAGACCCTGGCAGAGACAGGAGAGAATGGAATCAATGGCAGAGGAGGAGAGATTACTAGAAGGACAACCTCTTCCTCTGAGGAAGAAGAGGAATGAGTAAAAATGTAGGTAATGTCTAGGGGAGGCGGTGGGGAATACGAGAAGAGTTAAAGAGCATGTGCCCCAAGGGCTGTTTTCTGGGACGTAACTGGCAGTGCATTCTGAAAGGGAAGGGGAGCTCCCTCTCCTCACAGCCCCCTCTAATTACCTCCCAGGGGTGTTGACCACTGGATCATTCCCATGTTGGTTTCTCCATCTTCCTCCACTGGATCGTTCACTTCCTGAAGCAGGGACCAGGACTGCTATAGGGTTGTACAGTTGTGCACTTAGCACTCGAGGGGGCCCCATCACACCACTTTTATTATAATAGAGTTGAGCAGTTCACAGCCTGAGTTGTAACCTTATATTTATTACTGACCGATAGCATGAAGGTTAACAACTTATTGGTGCTCAGTAAACGTTTCTTAAAGGAACAGGAGTGATAAATATGTAGAGTACCACTGTGGGGAATATAAGAGCAAGAGTTTTTGAGAATCTTTAAGGGCTCAACTGTAACACCAAATGTACAGAGATAACTCATGGGAGATTAAACCATTTCATCCCCTGGCACCTAATAACCTTCATGTAGATATAGAGAATGCAGATAGCTGAGTTGGTCAGGTTTAGGAGGCAATAAAAGGAGAGACATTTAGGATGGTGGTGAGAGAGAGCCTGAGGAAGTCAGGGTCAGTGGGGAGGAAAGAAAGGCCATGGAATTTGGGAGATTGTGGTGTCTGAATCCAGAGGAGAGGTGTGAGAAGCTTCTCAGGATGGGGTGGGTATTCTCTGTTAGTGAGCACCTCTGTTCTGCACAAATACCCCCTGAACCCACTCCATCAATGTCTTATAAGAGAAAGGAGTATAGTGAGCAGACAACCAGGCCTCTGCTCCAATAGCATATGAATGAGATACCTTCTGTTCTTGGCCCATCTGAGGTGAACACACATTTGCAAATGGAAACTTCGACTGCGTACATTGTGCCGAACACCTGATCCCCCTGGGTATACTCTGTACTTTTCCTGACTTTGGTCTGTGCCCTGGGAGGCTGACCTTTATATTTATCATCAGTGGGCTCCCTTGCCCTCTGGCTTCTGGTTGGTTTTTGGCAATGGAATGGTGGGAGTCAGGGGACCAGAGGCTTGGAGGAAATTAATGTCAGATGCTTATTCCTACAGCTTCCTCCTTGTTGGGCTGCATTTCTCTAAGACCCTGGTTTCAGCCTTGTTTCCTCTCAACAACTTTCTATATTCTAATAACCCCTTCCCTGCTTTCTCCATCAGACTTAGTCGGTAATGGTTCCCTAGGAGAGCCAGCCCCTGCATGCTTCAGCAGGCCCTGTTGGAAACCTGTCCATTCTTTTGTGACTAGTCTGCACACTAAGCTATCCTCAGTGACCTCATTTGAGTGTGCTATCTCTTCCCTGTGCGAGCCCTGGCAGAAAAATCATTTGCAAAGGGTGGTGTGTATAGAGCAGGATTTGGGCAAGTTGACCTGGACCTGATAGTAAAGTTTTATTGGAACACAGTGATGCCCATTTGCTTTCCATGGCTTTCTTTTGTGCTACAGTAGCAGAGCTGAATAATTGCAGCAAAGACCAAAGGGCCGGAGAAGCCTAAAATACTTATCTGGCCCTCTAAAGAAAAAGCTTCTGGCCCTCTAAAGAAAAAAGACATGTCTGGGAAGACTGAAGTTGATCCCTGAATCTACTTACTAATTGAATGAACTTGGCCAAATCACTTTATCTAATCAAACATGACTCATAGAATAATAGCAGCTCACAAAGTTATTGTCAGAATTGAAGCTATAATTAGTCACTGTGTTTTTAGGAGTTGCTGTCCTTTGAGGATGTGGCTATGTACTTCACCAGAGAAGAGTGGAACAAACTTGATTGGGCTCAAAAGGACCTCTACAGAGATGTGATGCTGGAGAATTACAGAAACATGATTTTGTTGGGTAATGACTTGGCTTACAGATTTGCCTTTGATTGTCTACACAAATTCTAAAATCAGAAAAAGCACTGAAAACCAGAAATGTTTTCATAACTCATTTGGCTACAAGATTCAACCTGGTCATCCAATGGCCGAACTTGACTTCACCCTACAAGTCAAGCTATTTATCATCCTTACTAGAGGCCTGGTACACGAAATTCGTGCACAGGTAGGGTTCCTAGGCATGGCCAGCGATCAGGGCCAATCTGTGGGGTGACTGGCGGGGCGATCAGGGTGCCCCTACTGGCACCTGCCTTGGCGGGGCTAGGGTCTGTGGGCTGGGGGCAGCTCCTGCGTTGAGTGCCTACCCCCTGGTGGTCAGTGTGTGTAATAGCAATTGGTTGTTCTGCCGTTCGGTCGATTTGCATATTAGGCTTTTATTATATAGGATTTTTCCCATTTGACTTTTGTATCTATATATTTAGCATCAGGAATATTAATGTGCTTGATTAAAGGTACAGTTCCAAACCCTGTTAGGTTTTGGGGTAGTATATAATAGAAAGTCACCCTTACTAAATCTGGAAAAATTCTGAATCCTGAAACTCATCTGGCTTCAGATAAGGGATTGGGGATGAGGAAGTTTCCTTTTGTTTTAGAGTTCATTTCCCACCACCATTGACCTCTATATCTATAAGACTTCTTGGAGTTGAAAAGATTGTGGCTGATTGGATTCCCAAAGGTTAGCTTCTTACTCTCTTGAAATGTCTTATTTCTTTTCTCTGGAAATGATTCCTTCCTTGTATGCAACATCACTCGTTGCCCAGGAAATGATTCTTAACTGACTTGACTTTATTTCTGAACCTTCACTGCTTCTTTCTTCCCAGGAGCCAGCCTTTCTCTTAAGCCAATGCAGAATGTCCTACTGTGGAAGTTACCTGGATAAATAGTTTTCTTTCTGGGGATATATGCTTGACCCTCACACTGACACTCTTGACTCAGTTTCTGTCATAGGATTATCTACCCACCTCTGGGGTTTTTTTATGATTCTTTTTCTTTAAAAAAAAAATACAAGAGCATATTTGAATACATGGAAGGTATAGAAAAGCATGAAGGGAAGGAAAAAACATTCAGGGGTAATACTGTTAATATTTTGGAGTATTTACTTCCAGTATTTTTTTCCCCATGCTTTAAAAAATGTAGCTGAGTGCCTTGGCCAGTGTGGCTCAGTTGGTTTGCCCTGGTCAGAGTACATGTGGGAGGTGACCGATTAATGTTTCTCTCTCTCCCTCTCTCTCTCTAAAATCAGTAAAAACATTTTTTTAAAATGTAGTTGAGCATATTCTTTGTATAATTCTGTAATCCCTTTAAAACTTAACATTATAGCATCAGAATTTTCCCTCTGCTATTAAAAACCCCCATAATATAGTAAATAATCTTAATGTAAATCTATTGTATGATCCTTACCATTTAATTATTTTCCCATTCAGGAATATTAAGCTTGGCTTTGTTTTAGTTGTTGATTCGCTTGTGTGTTTATCATTTTCTATATGATAAAGTGCCAATGGATATTCTGACTATAAATCTTTATGTGAATTTCTGATTATTCCCAAGATATACTGGTATTCCTAAGACTGGAATGTTGGAGTTAGCGGGTATGGTACTTTTAAGTTTCTTAATATATATGTATTATTGAATGATATTTCAGCAATAGAGTAGAAAATAAAAAGTCCCAGTGCTCAGAAATAACTTGTCAACATTTTGGTTTACTTTTTCCTACTCTTTTCATATATATGTATACTTATGTACATATCCACGTATAGTTTTAAAACATTAAATTTGGATCATACTTTACATGAGTTTTGAATTATACTCTACATGAGTTCTGTATTCTGCTTTAAAAATGTACAGGGAGCACTTCCCTGTTTTAATATGTTTTTAAAAAATTATTATTATTGAAAGTATTACATATATCCCTTTTTCCCCCCATTGACCCTCAATAAATATTTTTTAAACATGGATTTTTAATATGTGCCTAATACTTTTCCCTTTATTATATTAATTGCTATACTTTAATTATTCCCCTATTAACATTTATTTCCAGTTCTACATTGTTGCAACTCTGCTGAAAATCTCTGGAACCTTAATTTTTTCCTTTGGCTGTATTTCTTTTCTTTTTAATATTTTTTATTGATTTCAGAGAGGAAGGGAAAGGGAAAGAGAGAGATAGAAACATCAATGATGAGAGAGAATCATTGATAGGCTGCCTCCTGCATGCCTCCAACTGGGGACTGAGCCTGCAACCCAGGCGTGCGCCCTGACCAGGAATCGGACCCATGATCTCCTGGTTCATAGGTCAATGCTCAACCACTGAGCCATTTCTAAGAGTGAGTTTACCACATCCAAGGGGTGAATATCATTCAGGCTGTCAATAAAGATTGTCAGATTTTCACAAAGATTGTGCGGATTTCTATTCTCAGGAGCCCTTTTGATTATTGTCCTTATCTCCTTGCCACTGTAGACCCAAAGTGGTTAATCTGAGCTCTAGGGCATCTCTGTAACTCACTAACCATCACATCCATTTACTTCCCCATGAATAGGATTTCAGATTCCGAAACCTGAGGTGATCTGTCAGCTGGAACAGTGGGAAGACCCATGGATCCTGGATCTACCAAGAGCTGGGACTAGAAGGGCTTCCAGTAGTGCTTGCCCAGGTGGGTGAGAAGTCCCAGACAAGCAGAAACCGTAAAGAGGAAGGGAATCACATTAATGAAGCTCCTTCTGTGTCCTTAATACTGAGCCAGGTGTTTAGCATACCTTCTCTCACTTCTTCATCCCTACTACCCTTTGAAGGTAGTAGTAATACCATAAGCTCCATTTTCCAGAGGAAGAAACTAATAGATTAAGATATCTCTCACACGGAGCATCAGCCTGTGGACTGAAGGGTCCTGGGTTTGATTCCCATCAAGGGCACAGGCCTGATCCCCAGTAGGGGGCGTGCAGGAGGCAGCCAATCAATGATTCTCAATATTGATGTTTCTATCTCCCTTCCTCTCTGAATTCAATAAAAAATATATATGTATTTTAAAAAGATAATCTATCACACAGAAGATTGCTAGTTGGGATTTGATTTCAAGTTTGCAAAGCGCATTCTCTTTTGCATTAAAGTACTTCACTGAAGCAGCTGGTCTGGTGTTTTCTGACAGCTCTTATGCCATATTAGCTATTGCTTTCTTCTACCCTCATTACTTATCCTTTCTCTTGTTCCCTTGCTTTCATTTTGCTTTTGGTGTTACTTGGTATTTCTTGATGTACCTACTTTTTCCTACTTACTATCTCCTGTTGCTGCTTCTACCCTTTTCCATGTCCCTCTACTCCAAGGTTTCTCAGTTGGAGCACTTCGACATTTGAGCTTGATAGTTCTTTGTTGAGGGGAGCTGTCCTGTGCATTGTAGGATATTCAGCAGCATTCTTGGCTTCCACCCACTAGATGCCAGTAGCACCACCCCAGTTGTGACAACCAAAATTATCTCCAGACATTGTCAAATGTCTCCTAGGATGTAAAACCACCCTGGTGGATTACCTCTGCTCTATTTTGTTGACTTTTGTACCTTCTTCTCTCTGGTTCCTTTTCTTTCTATCTTACACTTTTTTTCATTTTTAAGGAGTTCTTCCTCCCAGATATATTAAAAAACATGTTTATCGTATAAGATACTCTCCCCCCCCACATTTATGTTACACTACTGAGTACCTTTAGTAAGTTGCTTTTCAGTAATGATGAGGGGTTCACTTTGTTCTCACATTCTCTAACACACTTTTTAAAAAAATATATTTTATTGATTTTTTTTTACAGAGAGGAAGGGAGAGGGATAGAGAGTTAGAAACATCGATGAGAGAGAAACATCGATCAGCTGCCTCCTGCACACCCCCCACTGGGGATGTGCCCGCAACCAAGGTACATGCCCTTGACCAGAATCGAACCTAGGACCCTTCAGTCTGCAGGCAGACGCTCTATCCACTGAGCTAAACCGGTCAGGGCACTAACACACTTTTTTAAAAAATATATTCTTATTGATTTCAGAGAGGAAGGGAGAGGAAGAGAGATGGATAAAAACATCAATGAGAGAGAATCATTGATTGGCTGCCTTCTGCATGCCCCCCACTGGGGATCAAAGCCCACAACCCCGGCACGTGCTGACTCGGAATCAAACCTTGATCTCCTGGTTCAGAGGTCGACATTCAACCACTGAGCCACACTGGCTGGGATAATACCTTCTTGTACATTTTTTAGTTGGTTGGTTGATATCAAGAGCTCTTTCAGTTATAAAAGCTGAGAGTCCTATTAAAATCAGAATTTTGGCCTCTCTATTATGATGATGTAACTAAGCAAACATTTCTTAGCTTCATTTCAGTGTCTTATATTACAAACAGTTGGCTTCTTTTCCCTTTTTTTCTTCTGTGTGAACAGGTGATTTATATATTTTCTTTTTTTAAAATATATTTTTATTGAATTCAGAGAAGAAGGGAGAGGGAGAGAGAGATAGAAACATCGATGATGAGAGAGAATCATTGATTCGCTGCCTCCTGCACATTCCCCACCGGGGGATCGAGCCTGAAACCCAGGCATGTGCCCTTGACTGGAATCCAACCTGGAACCTTTCAGTCCGCAGTCCGACGCTCTATCTACTGAACCAAACCAGCCATATATATTTTTTTATTATTATTTTTATTTTTTGCTAGGTTCTGAAGCCAGATACCAGATGATAAAGCTAACTCCAAAGCAGAAAATTTCTGAAAATACAGAGTCATGTAAGATATCGGTGGTAAAGCAGAAGACGGCCATGACGCCTTCAGAAAAGTTACTTAAATTTAACAAATTTGTGGACATTTACAGAGTTGTACTTCCTACTGTTGATAATGAATACAACAAGTACTTCCTTCAAAACCTTAACCTTTTTCAAGATCAGAATGGTCAAACAAGTAAGAAGCAGGGCAAATATAGTGAGTATGGAAAACCCTTCAATCAGAGATCATTGTTTTTGAGGCAGAAGCAAATTCTGACAAATGCAAAATCTTATGAATGCAGTGAATGTGGAAGAGCCTTCAAACGTCAGGCAAATTTTGTTCGACATCAGAGATTTCACACTTCAGAGGATCCCTTTGAGTGTGACATATGTGGGCAAGCCTTCAAACAGAAGTCTGCTCTTACTGCCCATAAACAGTGTCACCCTCAAGAAAAGCCATATAGATGTCATGAATGTGGAAAATGTTTCCGTCAGATGGCATATCTTGTTGAACATAAAAGGATCCATACCAAAGAAAAACCCTATAAATGTAGTGAATGTGAAAGAACATTTAGTCAGAATTCAACTCTAATTCGACATCAGGTAATCCACAGCGGAGAAAAACCCCATAAATGCCTTGAATGTGGAAAAGCCTTTGTTCGGAACTCAACCCTTAAGAGCCATCAACAAATTCACAGTAAACAGAACGCTCACAAATGCAGTGAATGTGGAGAATCCTTTGGTCGGAATATAGATCTCATTCAGCATCAAAGGACCCATACTAAGGGGAAATTATTTGAATGTAGAGAATGTGGAAAAACTTTTAGTTTTAAGTCAAATCTTCGTCGACACAAGGTCATTCATAATGGAGAGAGACCCTATAGATGTGACAAATGCGGGAAATCTTTCAGTTGGCGCACAAGCTTTATTAAGCATCAGAGTACTCACAGAGAGCAGGTATCTATGTGACTAATGAGAAAAGCTATAATTTAAAGACCAGTACTTGTCACTATTGCAAGTATATGTAATTAGATCGTTTTACAAAAATAATAAACAAGAGCTGAAGTCCGTCTTTCTGTGGGGGCCCTCATTTTGTAGGTAACCTTGCTGTAGTCCAGAATTACTTAATAGAAAATGTAATAGGCTGTTGTATCCAGTTTCCCTTGAGCCCCTATACCTTTGTTCCCCCCAAGTCAAGGCATAAGGGAGGCTTGGTAGCTTTGCTCTGTGGTCCCCCAGGCTGGAGATCATTTAATATATTATGAATGATTTAAGAAGGCCTTTCTTGGTTTTACACAGAATAATGACTTGATATTGATAGGCTGTTTAAAAGTAAGTGCCTCTTGTAGCTAGTGAGGTATTAAGAATAAAAATTTTTAATAAAATTTAGTTCTACTGTAGTGATTTTCAACGTTTTTCATCTCATGGCACACATAAACTATTTACTAAAACTCTGTGGCACATCAAAAAATATATTTTTGGCCGATTTGCCCAAAAAAGTAGGTAAGATTTTGATTCATTCACACCGGAAAGCTACTATTGTGTTTCTGTTGTCATTTTTTTTATTTGACAATCTAAGGGAAAAGAGGTTAGCACCCCTGACTAAATGGTCAGGTATTGCATATTTTAAAAATTCTTCCCGCATAGCAGTGTGCTGGTTGAAAATTACTACATTCTATGAAGAGTTCTAAGTCAGTGCTTACAGCAGATGCTGTTGGTGTCCTGCTCCTGCCCCTTTGGCCTTAGCCTCTCTGTGTGTTTCATTTGCCTTGGACTATCTTCATCTGTTGGTCTGCAGGCTTTTTCTAAAATCATGAAAGGCCACTGCTCTGTATATCCTGGGAGCAGGCTTTACCCAGTGCTTGATGGGAATTTGATATAAACCAGATCTCCCTCCCCTTGGGAGGAGCACATAGGTTATCTGAAGCATCTGTTGTACACTGTTTTCAGATTTTCCCATGGGATTATACACATTCACTTACAATGGCAGCTGTCTTTTCCCTTATCTGTCCCTTCACTCCCCTACCAGTGTTTCAGCACCTCTCCCACAAGTAAATGGCTTGTACTAAAAAAGTGTTAAATATAATCCTTGAGGAGCCATATCCTTTCATTCCCACAGTTATTCCAAGCATATTTTTTGTAAAATAAAAATGGTTTATCAATTCCAAATTGTATAAAACACATGGGAGAAACCTAGCCAATCAACACAACTGTTGCCACATGGAAAGTTACTTGTATCAAACTTCAAGTTTAACAATGTACAAATGTTCCTTTTATCATGTCTATAGTAATTACCTATGCTTTTCCATTTAAGTGTGTTTTTAAAACTCTACATATCCCCATTATTTTTTCTTTCCCATTTCCCAGTACAATAACGGGAGGAAGAGGATCCCTCACATCCACAAGTTTCTAACTGGAAAGAAGGGGCAGTAGAAAACTGCTTAGAGAGTTGTTTTAACCATTCCCTGTCCGGGCACATGCCCGGGTTGTGGCTCAACCCCCAGTAGGCGGCGTGCAGGAGGCAGCAGATGGATGATTCTCATCACTGATGTTTCTCTTTCTCCCTTTCTTAAATCAATAAAAACATATTTGAAAAAAGCAAATGATCTGAAACAAATCTGGCATGTTAAGAATGGATAAATCTGTGTGGTACATATGTGAATGTTCTTTAAAACCAGGCTATTTTGTTTATTTGTATGTTAGCAATATTTCATAACAAACTATTGTATCCAGTTATTGGATACAATTATTTCACAATAAATAATATAATGCAAAAGTATATGAAGATATGTGACAGTAAATAATTATAAAAAGAACCTCCCAGGCATCTTCACCCTAGTTAAGAATTAGGTCATTTTCAGAATCACAAAGCCCCTTACAATCTCTCCAAACTCATCTCCCTTTCTCTTCACCAAAGGTTAACAAATAAAATACTCCGAGTTTTATGTTATCATTCCTTTGTATAATGTATACATACTATTTACTCATGTCTGGACATTACACTATTTAGTTTTGCTTATTCTGGAATTTTACATACATGGAATACTTTTGTACTTTCACTGCACGTGTGTTTTGAGAATCATCTGTATTTCTGTGTAGCTGTGGTCCAGTCATATTTACTGGTGCTCAGTATTTCTTTGTAGGAGTATACCACAACTTATGAATCTATTCTTCTGTCAATGGGCTTTTAGAGTATTTCCACTTTAGGCCTATTATAAAACAACATGTCAACATGCCTTAGCTCCCTGTGAAAAGCCCTAGACATAGACACATTTTCATGATGAGTCATAAGATACATACGTTTTTCAGCCTGAATAAGTAATGCCAAGCCTTGGCTGAGTAGCTCAGTTGGTTAGAGAGCTGTCCCGATACACCAAAGTTGCAGGTTTGATCCCCAGTCAGGGCGTATAAAAGAATCAACCAATGAATGTATAAATAAATGGGACAACAAATCATTTCTCTCTCTAAAATCAGTAATGCCAAACTTTCTATAATACATTTAACAATTTACACACCCAACAGCAATAGACGAGAGTTCCCACCACTCTATGTGTTTATGAATACTTGGTTCTGACATTTTTAAAATTATTTTTTTGTTAATCCTCACTTGAGGATATTTTTCCATTGATTTTTTGAGAGAGTGGGAAGGGAGAGAAAGAGAGAGAAACATCGTCTTGAGGGAGGCACATCCATTGGTTGCCTTTGCACACGCCCCGACTAGGGCTGGGGATCAAGACTACAACCATGCCCTTGATTGGAATCGAACCCAGGACCCTTCAGTCCATAGGCCAACACTCTTTCCACTAAGCTAAACAGGCTAGGGCCTGACAGATTTTTAAAGATTTGATAATCTGTAAGGTGTGAAATAGTAGTATCTAATTGTGGATTAATTTGCATATCTATTATTACTAATATAATTGAGCAGCTTTTCATTATCATGGGCTGTGATTTCTATTTTGTGTTTTCCTGATCTTTTTTTTTTTTTCCTGATCTTAATGTAGTTGAATTTATCAGTCTTTTATAGTGCTTTTTGAGTCTTGTTTCAGATTGCTACCAATTTATCAGAAATTTGTTTTTCTTCCTAGGTGCACAGCTAGATCACATTTCACAGATTGTATTGTTCAACATGTCTAGGTGACTGAGTCCTAACCAAGAGAATGAGTAGAGGTGATGTGTGCTACTTCTTGGCTAGGCCCATGAAAGCTCTGACACCTCTGTGCTCTTGTCTCCCTTCCAGTTGACTAGGTTAGAAAACCCAGGGCATTTTGGCAGCCATGTATTGAAGATGGCAGGGCTGCCATCAAACTGATGGCTTGGAGGAGAGCCACCCTGCCAGTCATGTGTATGTGCCTTAAACTTACAGGAGCGAGAAATGAACAACTATAGCTTTTGGGGTGTTTTTTAGAGCTGTTATCATAAGTTAACTTTATACATGTTTAAGATATTCTTCACTAATCTGAGATCAGAAAAAGACCACTTATATTTTTGTCAAAAGAATTGAAGTTTCAATAAAAAAAGAAAGCTGAATGAATTATTGAATAAGTAAGCTTCGTTTTTTAGCAGTTTCTGGTATTATTTGTGTTTTTACCCCCAAAATGTATATGTTGAAGCCCTAAATCAGTGTCTCGGAATGTGATTGTGATTGGAGACAGGGCCTTTTAGGAGGTGATTAAGTGAAAATGAAGTCACTAGGGTGGGCTGAAATCTTATGACTGGTGTCCTTATGAAAAGGAAATTTGGAAGACCACATGAAGATAAGGAAAAGACAGCCATGTATAAGCCAAGGAAAGAGGCCTCAGAAGGAACCAAACTTGCCAACATCCTGATCTTGGAGTCCCCAGCCCTAGTCGGGGCGTGGTGAGAAAATAAATGCTATTTATCATCCCCGTCTGTTTTTTTTTTGTTTTTTTTTATGGCATCAGAGCAGACTAAGACTCTCACCCTTCATAATATAGGGATCAGAGATTACATAAACACATTAATTTACTGTATACAGTAGCTGGTATGGTAAACGTAAACAAAACCTACCCATAGTGTTAGTAAAGAAAACATTTTGGGGTAAGATACTTGAGAAGCAAAAATTTTAAATTGTTTTATGAGAGTGGAATTTTTCCTTTGTTATTTGTGATTTAGGGACTGAGGAAAGGAAGATGGGATTAAAAGCAGAGGAAACATCTTGACCAAAGGCATATATGTGGGAAATTTAAGTAGCATATAGGTAGCAGTAAATGTCTGTAGAAGTTAGATAAAAACTAAAATTGGAGAGAGGACAGTTCATTCTAAGTTTGCAGAGTTACTATAGTAAAAAGAACACTAGGATCAGAACCTGTACCAGGTTATATACTATATAACTATCACTTACTATCTGACTTTGGGAAAATATCCTTGATAAGCTTGGAGAAAATACCACTGATACAGCTTATGACCTGCTTAAACTTTTATCATTGCCCCATTCTCAGTCGTTTTCTTAATACTGAATCTCATTTAAATAAAAAGTTAACGATACCTAGGCCAGCCCTTTCACAGTCCCTCCTGTTGGTTACAAGGAAGGTGAAAGGAGAAAGCACACACTACTATTCTATCACATCCAAGACAGAGGTGAGATCTGAAAGGCAATTACTTTGGTTTCCGTTTTTGTACATTTAGGAAAAAAATACGAGGTAAGGTGACAATGCTAGAGTAGAATTCTCATAATAGAACATAATTGACGTTTGCTTCAGGGGAAATTGGGAAGTTGTATTAAAAGCCAAAAATAGCTCACACACTGATCAGATTTCTACCTGAGAACCTAGTCTTAGATTCTAGAGAACAATCCAAATTATGCTAAAATGACATTAACATTCACTACATACTGCCTTGTTTGCAACAACAACAAAAATGAGAAATGCCTGAAATTTCCAATAAAAGGAAAATGGCTCCATTGTTACATCCATTTGTTGGAATATGATGCAGCCATTGCATAAAGGTAATAAAAACCATATAAAATCCTTAATACCTAATGTTAAATACACAAAATATAAAAACTAATTTTTATTATACAAAAATATCAGAAAAAAAATCCGAAGGAAATACAATTGACTCTTGAACACAAGTCTGAACTGCAAAGGTCCACTTATACACAAATTTTTTCAATAAATATACAGGCAGCACTCTGTACCTACAGGTTTCACATCCGTGGATACAACCAATTGCAGATGGAAGACAGTATTTTCAACCTGCGGTTGGAAATTTGCAAACATGGAATGCTGATTAAATGCATTTTCCTACATCATTTAATATAAGGGACTTGAGCATATGCAGATTTTTGTCAGCAGGGATCTTGAAGCCAATCCCCACAGATATCTAGGGATGACTTAAATATTGGGGGGAGTCAAAGTTATACATGGATTTTTTGACTGTGCAGGGTGTAGGCACCCCTAACCCTCACGTAGTTCAATGATTAACCGTAAATGCCAGTAACAGATCAAGTGTGGGAGTATGGGTCATTTTCTCCCTTGTTGTTTTCCCAAATATCCAGTCATGTGCTTATATCCCTTTAGTTTAAAAAAAATGTTCAGAAAGAATTTAGATGCAATAGATGTTACTAGTGTGCAGGACTGGAAAGAGAAAAAGATAGATTTAGGCTCTAATCCAAGTTTTAGTTGTGCCTACAGTTTAACACAATAGGGAAAGAGTGGGAAAGAGGAACTCTGTAAAACTGAATATTTTAAAAGTCAAAAACAGAGTGGCTCTTGCATTCACTGAACTGAATGTATGAGGTGTTTTGAATGAGAAAGTACTTGAAATCCTCTCTACCATCTAATTAGAAAGACAATTTTAAGTTACTAAAATGAATTCTTAGGGAAGTAATGTGAGTGCGAAAGATTTGGTCCAAGAGCAGCAGAGGTAAGGGTGGAGAGACAAGGACAGACTGTTGCACCCTTTTCAGAAGTCTCCTCCACAGATCCATCTGGTAGAGGGGCTCCCAACTTACATGCTTCTCCTTCATAGCAATACTCTATCAACATATGTCTTGAGATTTAAGTAAGACTGAATCTATCTTGGTTGTGATGCCCAAGGAAATATGACCCATGATTGACTGAAATATACCAAAAGCCAGAGAATGTAGTTTCAGGGCAATAATAAAATGAAAGAAAAACAGCTCATGCAGAATCATGTCAAAACGATGGGGCTTTATTTCTGTGGATCCTTTGGTGTCGAATAAGGTGTGGACTCTGTCTAAAGCTATCCCCACATTCAAGACATTTATAAGGTCTTTCTCCAGTGTGAGTTCTCTGGTGTATAATGAGGGTCGCACTCTGACTGAAGCGTTTCCCACAGACGGAACATTCATAAGGCTTCTCCCCGGTGTGGGTTCTCTGATGTTTAGAGAGGTCAGAGCACCGTTTGAAGCTTTTCTCACATTCTTCACATGTATAGGGTCTTTCCCCTTTATGGATCCTCTGATGTCTAAAACGGTTGGAAATACGGCAGGTCTCCCCACATTCAGAACATTTATAGTGTTTCTCTCCTATGTGGATTCGTTGATGCCGATTGAGATGTGAGCTCTGTCTGAAGCTGTCCCCACATTTGGGACATGTGTATGGCTTTTCCCCTGTATGCGTTCTCTGGTGTTTAACCAAGGCAGTACTCTGAGTGAAGCTCTTCCCACATTCTTTGCATTCATAGGGTTTCTCCCCAGTGTGGATTCTATGGTGTTTCAAGAGGTCAGAACGCTGTTTGAAACTCTTTCCACAGTTATCACATTTATAAGGTCTTTCTTCACGGAGCTGCCTCTGGGTCTGAAAAAGGCCTGAAGTATGGAAATTTTCCACATTGTCAATAGATTTGTGAGGTTTCACCACTTGAAGTTTCATTATATTTAAACTCTGTTTGCACCTGTTGCCATGTTCAGCACCATTAACAGACCGCTCTGCTGTCAGGCCAGGCTGACAAAGAACCAAGTTGGAACTTCTGGCACTATTCCCAATTTCATTATTTTTGGAGTCTCCCTCTTCTGTGGAAACATTCTTGAGATCTGAGATGCTGGTGAGTCTTTGCTCCTCAGGAGAATTTTCAATTTTCAGGAATAAAGGGTTTCTTGAGTGCTTTTCTACCATCTCCTCATGGGTGTCACCACATTTGGACAACAGGGGAGCATTCCCCTGGGATCTTTCTTGTAGCTGCATCTGTGGCTCTACTTCTAGAATTTCTTGCTTTGGAATTAACTCTTTGTTCTCTGTTCTGGTTTCCAAACCTGAAATATTAAAATACAAATTGCTGACATTTCATCCTGTGCAAGAGTGAAATAAATGAGTGCTAGCAGAAAAATAGCCCCACCAATAACCTTTTTAATCTCGATGAAACCACTCCTGAAGTTGAACTGTTTTAGTTAACCTGTCAGATGTGTTCACATTTTCCTGTACAAACCCCATGTCTTTGCTTTATACTTGTGCCTGCACCCACCAAACCATCTCTTATCCTCCTGCCCCACTTCACTGTTCTATGAGTCACCATATTATGACAGGCAAATTTAGAAGGGTGTCAAGAGAGGTGGTATAGCTTTTATCCTATGGCTGAAGTATGATTTGACAAAGAAATTCTATTCATGATGAGTTACTGTATTAAACATACCAGGCGCCTCCAATGTCTGAAGGCAGAGTCTGTGTGGGCGATATATCTAGTACTGATTGAAAGTCTATAATGAACAGTCAAGACACCAGAGTCCATCCCCCAAGCCAGAATTCTTACAGTTTACTCTCCAAGAAGGCCAGACCAGATAAATTCTGGATCAGGGACATCAGGCATAGTTAAAGAACAGGTGACAGGTACCATGAGCATATCAGGACAATCAAGTGAAAACTAACACACTAATTGGTAAAAACCCAATGTACTGTCCTCTCCTCAAGCTCAAACTACTGGCTCCAAAGCTTAAGTTTTCCAGGCAGAAAGGGCAGAAAAAATTTTTTTAAATCCTCACCTGAGGATATGTTTATTAATTTTTAGAGAGGAAGGGAGAGAAACATTGATCAGTTGCCTCCCATTATCAGCCCCTACCAGGGATTAACTGCAACCTCTTTGGTGTATAGGATGATGCTTCAACCAACTGAGCCACCTGGCTGGGGCAAGGGCAGAAATTTTTACAGCAGGAATTTCATAGGCTTATTCCCTATTGTATCCCCATCTACAATAGCACCTGGTTTACTGCAGATACTCAATAAAATATTTGTTGAATAATCTCTTGTTGAAATATTTGTTGGAAAATAAAGCTAAGGAGATCTCCTAGAAAGCGAAATAAAAGATAAAGAAATAGGAAGGGGATCAGGGGACTTGACAGAATCAGTCCATGAGTTCCAACATCCAAATGAAAGAAATCCCAGAAACAACATAGTAAAAATGAGATAAAAATAAGTAGATAGATAAATAAAAAAGTACTATAGAAAATTTCTCACAACTCAAAGATATGGGTGTCTATGTTATAAGGGCCTGCCAACTACTCAGAACAATGAATGGGGAGAAAAAACACCTACCTCACATTAAGCCATATCCATTGTGAAATTTCATAGTAGCAGGAATAAAGAAAAGCTTCTAAAGCAGTGGTTCTCAACCTTCTGGCCCTTTAAATACAGTTCCTCATGTTGTGACCGAACCATAAAATTATTTTTGTTGCTACTTCGTAACTGTAATGTTGCTACTGTTATGAATCGTAATGTAAATATCTGATATGCAGGATGGTCTTAGGCGACCCCTGTGAAAGGGTCGTTCGACCGCCAAAGGGGTCGCGACCCACAGGTTGAGAACCGCTGTTCTAAGACTTCTACACAGGACAAACAGATTGTATGCCAAGGATAAAATATCACAGTGACATAAGATTTCTCAATAGCAACATGGCAAGCTAGCCAGAAAATTGAGTCTTCAAAATTCAGACATGTTATTTTTAATATTGAATGCTACATCCAGCCACACTATAATACAAATGTAAGAGAGGACTAAATATATTTTCTGAAATTGACAAAGTTTCAAAAAATTTAGCTCCCAAGTATATGTTCTCTGGAACACACTAGAAGAGTTCTCCATCAAATCAAGGGGGTAAAACGAAGGAAGAAAATTATATGGGATCCAGGGGGGAAAAAAGGAATTCCCAGGGTGATAGTGAAGGAGAGTCTAGGACAGTGATGGTGAACCTTTTGAGCTCAGCGTGTCAGCATTTTGAAAACCCTAACTTAACTCTGGTGCCGTGTCACAAATAGAAATTTTTTGATATTTGCAACCATAGTAAAACAAAGATTTATATTTTTGACATTTATTTTATATATTTAAATGCCATTTAACAAAGAAAAATCAACCAAAAAAATGAGTTCACGTGTCACCTCTGACACGCGTGTCATAGGTTCGCCATCACTGGTCTAGGACAACAGCTGGATAACCGGTCTGGAGAAGAAGCCTATTCACACTGGAGCAGAGGAAGCCTCAGGGGAATCTCTCCGAGGGGATATTTAAATGATGGCATATCTGATATATGTGAACATGTTGAAAGGAGTTTTACATTTCTAACAGAAAGCTTGTGAGTGAACTAGTGTTCAGTAGTTAGAAGAGTAAGCACATGCAGAATGAGGCATTTTTAATTCCAGGGAAAACTGTAAAAGGAAAGTGTAAAAGCTGTAAAAGAAAAGTTATTCAATATGTGGGTGAATGTAGATAGTATTTTGTTTTTTTTAGATTCAATTTTGATAGATACATTTTTATTGCCATTTTGTTGTTCATATTCTTAATCTTTTTTTCCTTCTCCTTTTATTTATTTATTTTTAATATATACAGTAAATATACTAGAGGCCCAGTGCACGAATTCATGCACCAGTGGGGCCCCTCGGTCTGGCCTGCGGGATCGGGCCAAAACCAGCTCTCTGACATCCCCCAAGGGGTCCCAGATTGCAAGAGGGTGCAGGCCAGGCCAAGGGACTCCACCAGTGCATGATCGGGGCCGGGGAGGGACTTGGGAGGTTGGCCAGCCGGGGAGGGACTGCAGGAGGGCTCCAGGGCGTGTCCAGCCAGTCTTGCTCAGTCCCAATCGGCTGGACCCCAGCAGCAAGCTAACCTATAGGTCAGAGCGTCTGCTCCCTGGTGGTCAGTGCACATCATAGCGAGCGGTTGAGTGGCCTTAACATATCATTAGCATATTACACTTTGATTGGTTGAACGGCTGACTGGTCAACCAGACACTTAGCATGTTAGGCTTTTCTAATATAGGATATAATAAAATATATTTTTAAAAAAAATAAACATAAATGATGATAATCATTGATTGGCTGTCTCCTGCATGCCCCACACTGAGGATCCAGCATGTTCCCTGACTGGGAATTGAACTGTGACCTCCTGGTTCATAGGTCGACGCTCAACCACGAGCCATGCCTGCTGGGTTCTTCTATTTTTAAAAGGAATACTTAGACTACTGTGTTAAGACATCATGCCATCAGCTGAATACCAAATGTTGACAAGGATATGGAGAAAGAATTCTTGTATACTGCTTGTATCCTTCTGGACAGCAAGATGGGCAAATATCCCTAAGTATATTCTTGTCAGAAACTCCTACATATGACCACAGAGAGAAAGACAAAAGAATGTTCAGTATACTGTTGGTAATGGTGAAAAACTGGAAGTCTTAAACTCCATTGACAGGAGAATGGATAAATGAACTTAGGAATATTCTACAATGTATATATGGATGTTAAAATGAATAAACTAGAGCGATATATGTCAACGTGGATAAATCTCAAAATGTAGTGTTGGGCCCTAGCCAGTTTGGCTCAGTGGAGAGAGTGTCGGCCTGCGGACTGAAAGGTCCCAGGTTCGATTCCTTGTCAAGGGCATGTACCTTGGTTGCGGGCACATCCCCAGTAGGAGGTGTGTAGGAGGCAGCTGATCGGTGTTTCTCTCTCATCGATGTTTCTAACTCTCTATCCCTCTCCCTTCCTCTCTGTAAAAAATCAATAAAATATATTTTTAAAAAAATATGAAGCCAATGTGGCTGATATTAAAATCTGATAAACCTGGGTGGTAGATACACAGGTGTCCATTATACTTTTCTGTATGTATTTTATTGAAAATGAATTAAAACAAGAAGCTGAATCTGTCACCTAACAAAACAGAACAGAAAGGTCTTACTTAAGGTCACAAAAGAGATCCTAGGACTCTCAACCCATTTCTCTGAGTGGCAGACTGGCTCAGGGATCAAACTAAAGCAAACCCTTCACAAATGACACACAGCTAGAAACAAGCAAAGTCATAGCACTTACTTGGTAGGACTGTGTTCCCATAATCCTTCAGCGTGCTCTCCCTGTAGAAGTCCCTCTGAACTGGGTCCAGATGCTCCCACTCCTCCCATGTTACAGGTACATCCTTGACCTTCACCAATCCCTGAAACAAAAAGAAACCTCCCGTCAGCACCTGCTGTCCCAGGATAGCCTTACCACTAGTCTCAGGATAAGGCTAGACTCAGTCAGCCAGTACTGAGGAGGAAGCACTGAGAATGAAGTAACAAACACTTCTGTTGAGCCTTTACCAGTGAATCTTGTACTGACTGGGTAGTTTCAAAATGACCAAAAACAGAAGCTGCCGTTCTCTTGCAATCCCAAAAAGCCATTCTGTGGACTGTCTACACTAACTTGGGGTAAGCGCAAAATAATCATTTGAGTTACATCACTATGATTTAGCAAAATGGAAATCTGATATAGATTAAAAATGTATAGATAACCAGACCAGAGTCCTAAATTCCAATGCTGGCTCTGTTTCCTCATGTGTGAAATGGATATAAATATCTGTCTTAAGAAGATGAAGGTACCTCATCAACAGCAGGCACTTAATAAAATTTCCTTTCCCTTCCTTGACCATTGCACAATAAGATGATTACCCAACAAGATGATCTTTTGAAAAGCTTATTTTAATGTAAGTTGACTATGTACAGAAGGTAAAGCCACAGTTCTTAGAGAGGGAAGGTTCTAAAACTGGTGCAGAGAGATTGTCTAGGTTCCAGTGATGACTCACCAACTGACTCCAAAAATCTCACACTCAATGTGAGGGAAGGAATTTTTTTTTTTTAATTTTCTACTATGTTTTGACATGTTAATAAAAAAAAACTTTCTGGCTGGGAGACTTCCCCTCTGAGTGTCAGCCAATTCTTAGAGAGCAAAGGTTCAGCTGAGACTGGTTAATGTGGAGCCCTATCTTCTCTATGGGGCCTGCACACCCAAGGAGGCAAGATTAGCCTCTGCCTTAATCACCCCAAGGTCAGGTACCAGGCAACTAGGAACCACTGCATAATTTACAGCTGACTGGAAGATTTAAACTAAGCAATCCTATTGTTTACCCTGCCATGCTCTTCCTTTCCCTCTAAAACCCCAATTTCGACTCTGGCCTGACTTTTCCCTAGCTCCTGTCACCTGCCTCCTGACTACGACCTGGTGTCTTTCCCATGAGGTTCTGTGTAGCATGCAGTGCCTCCTGTCTCCAGGACCTGAGTATAGGACATTTCACACCCTCCCCCCTCGCCCAGCCTCTCCTCCATCTCTGTGTAAAGGAAAACCACACTCCTGTGTGTCTCCTCTTAATACTTCATTACAAACTATTTCACTTCTAACAACAGATGTGTGTGTTTCCACACGTCAAGCAATCCTCCAACACCAGCTAGCTGTATCCTACAGTTTAACTCAATTCTGACACCATGTACCTGGCGATGGGTTCAGATCCCACAGGTTGAGGGATCAGTCCTACAAGACTGCCCCCTTCCCAACTTCAGATGCTAACTGTAAGCCCACACCCTGTTTCTGACCAACCAGCTTTAGATCAGAGGTTCCCTTGACCCTCTCTTTGGGTTCAAAATCAATTTCCCAGAGCAGCTTCAGAACTCAGGAAAACAATTTACTTACTAGATTACCAGCTTATTATAAAAGGTTATAACTCAGAAACCACAAGATAGAGGAGATGCATAGGGCAAGGTCTGGGAAGGTCCCACAATTTACTTACTAGATTACCAGCTTATTATAAAAGGCTATAACTCAGAAACCACAAGATAGAGGAGATGCAAGGTCTGGGAAGGTCCTACGCTCGGAAGCTTGTCCCCATGGAGCTTGGCGTGTACTGCTCTCCCACTAAGTGGATGCACTTACAATCTGGAATCTCCCTGAACCCCATGCAATTGGAACTTTTATGGAGGCTTCATCACGTTAAGTGTGATCAGTAATTGACTCCACTTGCAGCCTCTCTCCCCTCTCTGGAGTACTATTATCAGCTGTGGGAGGAGGGAGTCGCCAAACCGTTAAAAAGTAAAAAGGGAACCTCACACTCAAAGTGGTGGGGCATTGCTCTTCTAGCCTCCTGACATCTTTCTTACCCCAACAATCTAGTTACACAAAAGGGTGTCTCACAATGAGTCAACAACACTCTCGAGTAGGTGTTGTGCTGAGCGGTCTCCAACTCAAGGATCATTTCCTGAATGGAGTCGTCACTGTTTCCTACGGAAAGGAAGAAGTTTTATGCACATTCTAAAGTTCACACAAAATGTAATAAGGAAGAAAAAAAACCTTCTGAAACTCATACACCTCCCTTTCCCGCAGCTCCGGGGGCAGGGCGGTCAGGAACTGCTCCAGCACCAGCAGCTCCAGGATCTGCTCCTTCGAGTGCACCTCGGGCCTCAGCCACCTCCGACAGAGTTCCCGGAGCCGGTTCAGCGCCTCTTCGGGTCCGGCCGCCTCCTGATAACGGAACCGCCTAAAATACTGTCGACAAGTTTCGGGATCCAGACAGTCCACAGGCGGGTCGGGGTCCCGAACTCCCGGTGAGTCTTCCTCCACTTTTACTATCAGAAGTCCATCACGCAGGGACGGCGCGGCGACCCCCGGCCCTGCGGCCACCATCCGGGCCCCCGCCTCGGCGTCACTGCCTTCACTTGCGACCAAGCTCGAACTCATCTTTCTTCAGCACGCGCTGACTTTCCCGGAGTTTTGCCTTCAGGTGAGAAGCGAGCAAACCCTGCAAAAACCCACGGCACTCATCGTCCTTCCTTAAGTAGAGGCGCAATCCACCCGGCCCCCTGCAGGAGTCCTCCCACCGCCAGCTTCGCCACTTAGGACCGTCCCGTGACAAAAAAAAATCAACAGAAACTAGTAACTCGGGCCGGAAGTGCGTCACCGACTCCCTGCGGTAGACACCCTCCCGGGCATTTCCGGGATCTCTCTAGGCGCCTTGGAGGACTGGGATGAATCTTGGTGGTTTGCCGCCCGCCCCTTCCAGGGATGCTCTTCTTGTATACTCTGCTTTGTGCAGATTATAGTCCTTCAGGTTGCAGAACTAAGCGATACTCTTCTTTTAAAACTTGAATGTCATTCTTTAATACCTTGTCTGTGAATAAATTTTTTTTTAAATTAAATCTTTATTGTTCAGATTATTACATTTGTTCCTCTTTTTTCCCCCCATAAATCCATAGGTGCACGATTTTTGTCCAGTCTCTTCCCGCATCTCCCACCCATCCCCCTTCCCCCCCCAAGAATAGTCAGTCCATTCCCTTTCTATGTCCCTGATTCTATTATAATCACCAGTTCATTCTGTACATCAGATTATTTATTGTGAATAAATTTTTAAAGTCTTGTTTTAGGAAAAGTTAAAGATCCAACATTACAATGAGTTGTAAAAAACATTCACCCATGTGGTATTTGTTTACACAAGAAAGGTTTGTAGAGTATCTTCTACATGACGAGACATCGTGCTCGACACCATAGATGCAAAACATAGTCCTTGTCCTCAAGTTGCTCACAGTCTCCTGGGATCACGCTGGAGGACTGGGCTCAGGATGGCAGTCCTTTATTCTAGGCTGGGTAAGGGAGGTGTGGTGCTTGCATCCACACTGGCTGGGTGAAAGGTCATCCTTTCTCCCACGCAGCCTAGGGGAGGGGTGCTGCTCCCTTCCAGGTTGCCTGGAGGAATGGGCATAGTTGATTCTAGGCTGAGTGATGGAGTCCCAGGATCTCTGCCCTTCTGCCCTGATGCCTGAAACCCCTGGGTTGGGGAAAGACTGATGTTGGGGTCAGAGGAGGGGCAGGGCCTTACCCTGATCTTGAGGCCACAAATCTTGGTTTTCATGCTATCTAAGGTGAGGTAAGTGCCCATGATGTTGTTATATGTTTTTCTTGTGAGTAATTCCCATATTCGTGCTTCTCATAGTCCATGGTCTTCATTATTTGGGCTACCTGGGGGGCTGTGTCACCCCAAGGTAGCTCTATGTCTGGTCTCAGTTCCTCTAACTGCCCAATGTTGATCCAGCAGTTTTTCATGATATTTTCCAGGGTTGGTCTTTGGCTGGAGTTGAGGGTTATTCATTTTCATAACAGTTTTTGGCATTGTAGAGACAGGAAGTATGGTATAAAGAAGCACCCATTCAAGATGTACTCAGTAAATTCGTCAAAATTCTTCACCACAAATGGAAGTTCTCCTGTCACCATCCTCTAGAGCACTACCCCCATGTTTCAGACGTCCATCTTCAAGCCCTCGTAGAGTTCGAACCAGAACAACTCTGGGGCCATATAGGGGGTAGTGCGACAGAAGGTAGTCAGTTTCTCTTCCATAAATACCCTACTGAGGCCAAAGTCTGCTAATTTAACATTCATCTCACCATCTAGAAGTATGTTCTCCAGCTTTAGATCCTGATGTATGATGTTCTCTGGTGACAGTAATGGTCGACTGATAGTAATGGTTGGAACAGAGCTTGGGCTTCCTTTTCCGTCATGGGGCCACAGTTCTCTCAGTAGTCGAATAATGTTTCTTCATTGGCATGTTCCATGAAGAGATATACTTGGTCCTCGGTGGTAATGACTTCAAACATCTTGGTGATATTAAGATGATCTAGTTCCTTAAGAGAATGAATCTCTTGGAGAACATCAGAGAAACTCTGCCAGTTGACAACTTTCACAGCCATCTCTGTGCTGGTGACAACGTGCCGAGCCAGCCTCACCTCTCCAAAGCATCCCTTCCCAATGATGTTGAGTATGAGGTAGTTGCCAATATGGCACTTCTCATTGGCAGTGATGGCTGCAAAGTCATCACACTTAGTGACTTAAAAAGTAAAAAATATTCTTTGATATCTGTTCTCACTGAAGTGGATCTGTGGGAGGAGGGAGAGAAAGAGGGGGAAGAGGAGGAGAAAAGAAAACGAGAAAATAAGCCAACTAGTCCATGTCCAACAGGTCACTACCAATCAGCTTCCTGGGATCTAACAGACTAAAATCTCAGCCCTGCCAAGACCTTATACAGGAATGGTTTGCAATTCCATCACAGTGGCGCCTTATGAGGTCAGAACAAGAAATGGATCAATCATGGCTGGGGATAAACCACAGTGGTTTTCTCACTTTTTAGTCTCATGACCCTTTTCTCACTTTTTAGTCTTAGGACCCCCAAAGAGCTTTTTGTTATGTGTGATATTCAAGATTAATATTTATTTAGTCTTTATTTTATTAGAAATGAAAATCTGTAAAATGCAAAAAAAGAAAAGTCTGACTTACGTTCATGCTTCACATCTCAGTTCAAATATCACCTGCTTAGAGAGGACTTCCCTGATCATCCATTCCTACCCACCTCACCCAGCACATCACGTTTTGAATTTTCATAGCACTGACCATATTGTAACTGATTCCTTTTTAAAAATCCTCACCTAAAGATATGTTTTTATTGATTTTTGTTTTTTTAGAGAGGAAGGAAGAGAGAGAAACATCGATTGATTAGCTTCCATATGCACTCCAACCTGGGATCAAACCCACAACCTACACAGTTGCCTTGGCTGGACAATGAACCTGTGACCTTGCGGTGCATAGAATGATGCTACAGCAAACTGAGCTATACCGCCTAGGGCAGTGTTGTTAATTCTTGTTTACTGTCTGTCCTTCCCATGAAGGGGGAGCATGACTGCAATGTTCCCTGTGTCTAGCACAGTGACTGGCAACAAAATAAGTGTTTAATAAATATTTGTTCACTAGATTAATATAGAAATTTGGGGGAACAAAAGAAAATATGGGCAACTACTATTTAATCAATAATTCATTAAAAAAATCTTTATGAAATTCATGTTCTGTCAGGCTGGCATGGCTCAGTGGTTGAGCATCGACCCATGAACCAGAGGTTGCGGTTGGATTCCTGTTTGGGGCACATGCCCGGGTTTTGGGCTAGATCCCCAGTGTGGGGCGTGCATCATGTTTCTCTCTCTCTCTACCTCTCCCTTCCTCTCTGAAATCAATAAAAATATATTTATAAAAAAATACAAACACCCCCCCCCCCCCCCCCCCCCTCCGTCAATTTGAGCCTCTCCTGCTAAAGGACTCTCTGGAGATAGTAGGGGATTTTTCTGAATTTCTTTCATTCCCATAAGGTAGACCACAGCGCTAGCAAGTCAGTCTTCAAACCTCATCCCTGATTGGTGAAAAATTCATCCCATACACTAAAAAATAACTCTTCAGTAGATCCAAGGATGTGTGCTTTCTGATGAGTGGGAGTAGGTGAGCCTCATTTTGGCGATATGTAAAAGAGTGGTGATAAGCCTCTTGTCTTGCCTGTCAAACAGCTTTGTAAACGTATACAAAAATGAGAAATTATTAAGGATGGGATCAACTTGTTTGAAGAAGCCCAGCATAGATGATTTCCCTACTTTGCAACGATGCGTGGTTTCGGCATCCACTCTCTCCACGATAGAAGGCAACGGACTTCGCCGAACACCGCCTTCCAGCCCAAGGCGTTGGAGCAAATACGTCCCTGCTCTCCCGCACTCTGATAGGCCCGCGAAACCGAGGCTGAAAAGAGAGCCGCGGCCCTATTGGTTAGCGGGCACGTTCCACGCGGCGCTTCCTGGGAGATGTAGTCCTGGTAGCCGCCGGCTCCCGGGGCTCGCGAGTTTAACGTTGGAGATTTTAGCCCAGAGAGAGCTGAGATGGTAAAGAGGTGGGTGTGTCTGCAAACGGGGTGCGGGGAGTGGTGAGATTCATGTGAAGAAACCGAAGGGTTCAAAATTAAAGAGAAGTGACAGTTGTGGGCTTGCAGAAAGGTACGGACCCTACTCCGAATTGGGGCGCAGGGCGTTGAGAGTTGGGGAGCGCAGGTTCCACGGCAAATCGGGTGCTAGCAACTGTCGCCTTAGCAACAGCTCCCGACACCTACGACCCCGCCCCCTGCCTGCACTCCAAGGAAAGAGGAGGAGCCCGAGCTGTTTAAATTGCTTTGGGGTTGCCCTGGCTGGTTTGGCTCAGTGAATAGAGCATTGGACTGCAGATTGGAAGGTCCCGGTTCGATTCCAGTCGGTCCGATTCCAGTCGGGGGCACATGCTCGGGTTGCGGACTCGATCCCCAGTTGGGGTGTGCAGGAGGCAGCCGATGAGTGATACTCTCTCATCATTGATGTTTCTCTCTCTCTCTCTCTCCCTCTCCCTTCTTCTCTGAAATCAATAAAAATATTTTTAAAAAATAAATTGCTTTGGGGTTGGATGGGGAAAGAGTGTGGCTGTTTTCTTCACGGCTCCTGAGGTTCCGTGGGCGTGACTGGCTCCTGGGCCACCGCCCCATTTCCCCACCGATTGGCCCACAGCCCCTCTGGGGTGGAGCTTGCAGGCACTTTTCACCCGCTGCGAGGCGAGGACCTCCGGGTTTCCTAGAGCGGACTCGGAAGTGCTCTCGGGGGGGTGGATTTATGGCTCAAGCCCGTTGGACAGGGAAAGCTTGGACTTGCTTACTTCCGGCGAGGAAGTGGTGCGAAGTGTCGCCTTCGGTTTTCTCTCCGTTTGTGAAAAGACACCCATCTCTCCAGCCTTGATTGCGGGAGCTCGGTCGTCCAGGAGAGCTCCCCGAGGCTGGAGTCTTGAGGAAAGGGAATGGGCATTGTATCCAGACGGGGGCCCTATCCCTAACCTTGACCGGGCCGGTCTCCCGTGTGTACGGGGTCAGGGTCGAGAAATCCAGGTCCAAATCTGCCCTTATTATCCTGCTTCTCTTCGGGACCAATGAAGTCTCCCGTTGGTCTGTCAGGCCCTTCTGGCTTGAAAGACAGGACCAATTTTGATCATTGTAATGTTTTTGACCCCTGTTCTGACTTAAGTTTGACTTAAAGGTAGAGAGAAGGAGCGACTGCGACTGGACTAGTTAGTAAGTCTTGTCCTATTAATATTCTTCACCAGTAAAATTATGTTGGTTGGGCCTGATGTCAGATTTTTTATGGCTCTCATTTACATTTTTTTAAATGTTGGAAATATGTTAAGTTGACTTGTTCATATTTTAAATGAATTACTTCGTTGAATGGTCATCTTTAGTATAAATGACCTCTATGTCACCTCTTTGCTAATAATAATTTCCAATATATCAGTAGGTTGCATAATAATGAACGTGTCCTCCAGAAGATCCTAAAGAGGAAAACATATTTGATCAGTGTAAAACAGCTAAAGGGGAGAAACATCCTTCTGAGTTTGGAATGATAATGACAGAATCTGGGGAAGTCATAGACTTGGACCCTCCAGCTGAGACTTCACAAGAGCAAGAAGACCTTCTAATAGTGAAGGTGGAAGAAGAAGACTGCACGTGGATGCAGGAGTACAATCCGCCAGTGTTTGAGACTTTTTACCAGCGCTTCAAGCACTTCCAGTACCATGAGGCATCAGGCCCCCGGGAGGCCCTGAGCCAGCTCCGGGTGCTCTGCTGTGAGTGGCTGAGGCCTGAGCTGCACACCAAGGAGCAGATCCTGGAGCTACTGGTGCTGGAGCAATTCCTGACCATCCTGCCTGAAGAGTTCCAGACCTGGGTGAGAGAACATCACCCGGAAAATGGAGAAGAGGCTGTGGCTGTGGTAGAAAATATACAGAGGGAACTAGAGGAACGCAGACAACAGGTGAGTGGAAGAGGAGACATTAGAGCAACGAGGAAGGGCAGGAAGAGAGTTGGGCTGCTGAGCAGGGGTGAGATCCTTAGCACTCTGGTGCTTCATTTATATTCTTTTGTTCTCCTGGGATTAGGTACACTGTGGAGATTTCCTGCCACTCCAGCAAAGAGAAGCAGTATCCAGTGTGCTAACCTGGAGAAGACAATCTGCGATTTAATTTAGTTTTAAAATTACTATATTTTTTGAGTGACATGATACAAAATTCAAAAGGTACTTAAGGCTGTAATAAAAGGAAGTTTCCATCCCACCCCTAGTTCCTCAGATGCCTAATTCTCCTCACCAGAGGCAACCATTTACATGATACATGCATATCCTACAGAGGTATACTATGACATATTTAAAACACAGATGTTTTAAAATCACTGTGTATTTCTGCCTCTTGCTTTTTTCTTATAGCTTGGTTTGTTTCATGTCAGTGCAATAGAGCGACCTCACTCTGAAACTGTGTTATATTCCATTGTATGGATATACCATAATTGAACTATTGAGGGCCATTTAAGTTGTTCCTTTAGGTTGTTTCTGAATTTTTACTACAAACAACTTTGCTGCATGAATATCTTTACATACATCATTAATTATAGAATGTTGTTGGCTCAGAAGCCATATGCATTTGTAATTTTGACAGCTATTGATAGATTGCCCTACTTAGAGGTTATACCAACTTATATTCCCAACAGCAATGTATGAGAGAAATTTTTTTCCTACAGTCTGTAACCCAATGTTATCCAACTTTTTTGATTATTGCCAATATGAAAGATACATATTCCAGTTCTGTGCAATTATAATGCATTTCTCTAATGGGTTAGTTTGACCACAGTGCATATTTTAAAGGGCTATGCATATGCCCTTTTATTGAAAATTATCTGTTTATATTATTTACCTATTAGGAAAAGTAAGGACTGTATCTGTCATTGAATTGCAAGTGTTACTTTTCCACATTGTTGTTTGTCTTTGCTTATGGAGATTTTTGCTTTGCAGGGTGTTTTAATTTTTATGCAATCAGCTTAGATCTTTTACATTGTTTTAGGGTTTTGTGCCATACTTAGAAAGGCCTTCTCAACTACAATATTATAAGAAATTTTTCTCATAGTTTTGTCTTAAATTTTTCTTTAGACTTTTAAATTTTTTACACTTTTACATCTGGAATTCATTTTGGTTTAGGGTGTTTGGTATGGTTACAACTTTATTTTTTCCCAGATATCTACCAGGTTGCCCCAGCAACTTGTAATCCACCTTCTCTCCTTCTGATTAAAATGCCTCTATATTACATACCAAATTTCTGCATGTATTTGGGTCCTTTTGTGGTCTCTTTATTTTATTTTACTGATGTCACTGTGTGTTTGTGTGTTAGTATTTTAATTATTTGAACTCTATGAAATGCTTTGGTATATGATAGGGCTATCCTTCCTTCTTCCAAATTATGTTTTAATATTTTCTCATTTTCCTTATGATCTTCAGAATTATTTATTTAGTTTTTAGTACTCCCCCCCCCCCAATTCCTGTTGGTATTTTTGTTGGGATTGCATGAAATAATATATTAATCTAGGGAGAATCAATATCTTTATGTTGTTAACATCTTGTACTTTCTTACTCATTTATAATCTGACCTTCTACCTTCCTCTGGTTGCTAGACTCACACTCTCTTAAACTTTAATTCTCTTTTTATAGCAAAGAAACAAAAGATTATAGGTCTACCAGAGGTTGAAACTAGTTAGAGAATTTCCCTCATTTTCCAGAGCCATGGCACTTCATTGTAAGGTACCAACTCATTATTCTTTACCTCTGGGTAAGGGTACTTCAACATCCCAGAATATCCTCAGGCTCTTCAGCTGGCTTAGCTCACCCGACGAGGCAAGTGGGCCGCGGAGAGAGCCACTGTTGACCTGAAGCCAGACCCTGTAGCTCTCCTGAATGATTATTGTACAGATGGGGATGTTTGAACCTTTCTATTGCTTCTTTCAGGGCATAAAGGTTCCTGTTGACATCTAGTTAATTCTTTTTAAAACCTAATTTGGGCCCGGCTGATGTGCCTCAGTGGTTGATCCCTGGTCAGGGCACATGCCAGGGTTGTGGGCATGATCCCCAGTGTGGGGCATGCAGGAGGTAGCCTGTCTGACTCTCTCTCATCATTGATGTTTCTATCTCTCCCTTCCTCTCTGAAATCAATAAAAATATATTTAAAAAAAACTAATTTAGGACATAAATGGACAAACTATTATTCTATCTTTTTAGTAATAAATATTCAAAAGTGTAATTTAAAACAAAAAGCATTTTTTAATACAGGATTTACAGCATATATTGCACATTTGCCTCTTTTGGTGTGATATGCAGCCCACCTTTGAAGGGACACAGAGAAAAATAATTCCTTAGTGGTAGTCAGGATTTGAGGCCCAGATAGGGCATTTCCCACGGGCCTCCACAGCATACTTTGTTTGCCTTTCTCTCTGTCTGTCTCCTGTATCCCTGACATTTTTCCTCAATTTTATCTCCAGGCAGTTCTTGTCTCTGCAGACCTTTCCCCAGGCTTTATCCTTCTCCTTTCTCAGTTTCTCTGCCCGAGTTTCCAGACATCAAGGGCTATTTTGGTTCTTTGTTGCCCACGGTGCCCTTTGACATACTTGGCATCATCTTAACTCTGTTCTGAGTGGGTCAACCAGGACACAAACTTTCACACAGAATATTTGCCACAACTGTTTTGCAACTGCCTCTTAATGTAACTCTTGTGCCACATTTTGCCAGTACTAGGAGGGTTAAAATCAAAAGTGTTTTGAAACCATAAGGGAGGGAGAAAGGGGATGGTGATTCTA